TTCCTAGGTGGCAGCAGCATCTGGCAGGATTTAGGTATTCTTACCAACATCTGGTGACCTCCTTAGACAGGTTCCCAAAGCAAGACCCCTTCCCACCCCACTCTTGCCATGGCTCTGTCAGGTTCTGTTTAGCTCTCTGGCTGTCCAAGAAAACTTAATCTTTTTTCCAGCTGTAGGAGTTTAAGGCTAATATTTTTCAAAATCAGGCATTTAAAGTAAGGCAACTGTATTTAGCTACTAATGACTGCTAGAGTGAATTGTGCAGTGAACCCCCAACAAAGACTCAGTTGGTGTGCATTAGGGCACTTCCACAATTCAGCACTGTTAGCAGAGACTGGTTTACCCAGCTGCTGTAATTATATAATTGTACTTTCACTTCACTGAATAACAGTGCTGCATCACCAGGGATCACACTTGATCATCAGATGTTTGTCATCATAAAATAGATACATACACATGGACTTCAAAAATATGATTTTATCAGAAATCAAAGCACTACACAAGAATTGCTATCCTTAGTTAGACTTGAAGTCCACTTAACTCTGCATTTTCTGTCCAACAACAGGGACCTGGGGTGTGTAGGCAGGGCACAAAAATCATGTCACTTATTGAACAACCCTTCCTCAAAATACCCTCCAGAAGCAGCCTTTAGCTCATGCCTGTTTCCTCTACTGCTCTTCTCTCTACCTCTTCCAGCTCTACTATATCATTTTTGAGATGAGGTCAGCAAGTTGCAAACAGAATTCACCACAGGTTCAAAGAATGGCCCATTTATATTTTCTATTATTTCATCCATTCCTCTGCCATTAGTTGTGGTTTGGACAGCACCCAGCAGGCATTTTGGTGCTCCATGGAGCTGAGAACCATCACTGCACAGACCCTTCTCTGACTGCCACATGCACTTGTCTGCCTTTAATGTTATTTGCTCTATATGTACACATTTATTCTGCAAATATCAGCTTTGAACATCCTTTGAGCTCATCTAGCTTTTAAATGTTACTTGTGTGATCATCCTGCTGCAACTCTTTGCAGGGGGTTTTAGATCCATTAGCCTTTATAAATCTTTATTCTTCACAGTTTTAGTCAACAAACTGATCTGATTCCTTCTGAGAGCTTTTATAAAAATGTTGAGCATCAAAGATCCCAAAACAGCCTTTAGGGCACCCTACTCTCTCTCCACTGTAAATTCAATCACTTCTTCATCTCAGTCATTTAATCAGGTGCAAACCACTGAGGCAACCTCTTCCTTTTTGTAATTAGAATTTGTTAAACTTGGCCTAGGCAACTTCTCAACAGCTTTTTGCAGACTGAAGTATGAAGTATTTGAAATTTTACCTTCCTCTAACACAATCCATCTTAACCCTTCCTGAACTAGAAATTTAAAGGAAATTTCTTTTGAAATCAGCAAAGCCGTGAGAGGGAAAAAAAAGAATCAGTGCTGCAAACAATTTCAATGTATGGATTTCCCCCACCTCCCTGAGGCTCTATCTGCCTCAGAAAGGAGTAGAAGGCCTCAGGAATGTGTTCTTACAGAGACCTGGTAGGTACCAATGTCCCAAAAGACCCTCAGTGTGTGTTTGGAGGAGGGTTGCTTTGGACCATGCAGTCAATCTTGCCTGGACCCTCAGCCCATACTGCCCAAAATGCCAGGTACAGTCCCCAGGCACACCCTTCAGTTTAGTCATATCCAAAGGGATTCAGTTTTTAGGTCCCCAGACTGTTACAAGACACAAAGCAAAGCACAATTTAGCTTTTGAACATCTTTCAGTCCTTCCTGTTTCAGCCTGATCCCAACAAAAACTCTAATGAAGAAGCACTTACTGTAAAAAGCATAAGAACAAAAGATTTTCCTTCTATTATACTAATTATAAATTCAGTCATTCCTTCCTCATAAAATAAATCTGTACACACTCCTTTAAACTTTTGAAATCTATTATTAATATCTTTTAGAACATACAACAACCCCTAAAATAAATGAGGAGCCAAAATCCCATGTATTAAACTTCTATATTTCTTCACTGATGTTTTCTAAAGGGGTTAAGCATAGAAGACAAAGAACAGCATCACAGTTACATTTGGAATAGTGTGAGAAAATGAAGCAACAGATGGAAAAATCAAAATCTTGATTTTTCTGGACCTGTTTCAACTTCCAACACTGACAGCAAATACTTGGTCCACCTTTGTGAAAATTCTGTGCAAAAAGATACAACATGCTTTGTGTATTTCTAACAATTTTTTATCAGTATGTTATTATTAGAGAGCCAAAATATATTCATAGGAATGCAGAATTTGGATGAAGGTGCAGATTCTACTTTTCAAGGCCTGTGTGCCAAGATATTTCAGAGCTGCAAAGAGAAGTGTAAACAACCTCAGCTCGGTGTGTGTCACTTCCCTGCTCTCACCAGCAAGCGGCAGACAATGCACATTTTATTCACATTTCCACTCTTCCCTCTATTCTACTTCAACTTAGAACTTTCAAAGTTTTTACAACAAATGGAGTCTGACAGTTTTAGTTTATTTTAGCAATAATCACAAGACGGTTTTTTCTGCAAATACAATAAATGTTATCCAAGAGCAATTTGGAGCAATCAGTATTGATATTTATACCATGTGTGTTGATTGAAAAGGTCTTGGCTGTAAGAATGGAATATGAATCTACCCAGAATGTATGAATATCTTCTAACACATGCTCGTGTGGGAGCTATAAAAGGGAGTTTATTATAATTAGTGGAAAAATAGTCTTGTTATAAACTAAAAAGAGAAAAGAAAGAGAAACCATCAGTTTGTACAGTTCAGCTAACTTTTCTTATTCTGTTCTTTGATGCTCCTCTGTTCACTAGGACACATTGGTCTTCAGCAATTCAAAGGGCTTTTTTCAATCTCAATATCACTTTTGGAGTGTGAGAGAAAGGCTTTCAAAAGGGTAAAAGAACCAAATTTGAAAAAAAACTTGTACCTAAAAGGCCAATACTGCACAAAATATTAAAGATTACATCTTCAAGAAGTCAATTTCTTTGCAAAGAAACTACAGATTGAACAACTCTAAAAAGGTCCTTTAGGTTATTCATTCTACAGAAAAAAACCCTCAGAGGTCACAGCAGCCAAGAAATTTAAAAGTAATAATTCTACTACTGACATGGCACTGATACTCTTCACACACACAGACACTTTATTCACTAGATGGTTCTTCTTGTGGAGAACTATTCTGGGGGCTAGCAGGAGTCCCAAAGACCAGATGTGACCCCAGTGAGAAATCTGCATGAGCAATGTCTGTGTGGAAGGATCCTGAATAAACTCCTGGCATGGAGAACATGGAGAACACAAAGGCTCATCCAGTGATGTTTCACTCAGTCAAACTCCCAGGGCAAACCCATCCTCTGCAGAGCAGCCAGGAGGAAGGGCAGCGAGGAAGAGGTGCTGCAGATCCAGCCAAGGGCCCTGTTATCCTTACTTTTGCAGGTCAGATCATTCACATCATCTTTTATCAGCATTCACAGTGAAGTTCTCATCCTCCTACACTGCAAATGGACACATTTTTGGGTCCCACCCATCAGACAAACCTATCAGCATAAGGTGCTATTAAATTCAATCTTCTGAAACCAGTGGTTTATTACTTTCCATTAAGGAAAGAAGAACAGGAAAACTCTGCTTACATCATTGCAAAAGTTTTTCTGCTTCCAGACTAAGTGACATTTTAAGACATGCAAGCTCTATTTTATTCACAAACAGTAATACTTACTTCCTTGGCAGTGACAGGAAATAAAGCAATTAGATAAATCATTTTTTAAGTCAACACTGGTGTCTCAGCATAACTAAAGTTTGGCTCACCAATATATACAATTCTAAAGCATTTGGAAATCTACAGTCCCATGTGAAAATATTAATTTATATTTAAATTGCTAACTGCTTACCCATCCTAACAATATTAATATTAACAGTGTGACATGAACTCTCTGCTGAATTTGAGATGTAGGTCAGTTATACAAGGAGTTGCCAAACTATAGTTGGAAAATATTACTTCATCAAAGAATTAGCCTTGGTATAACAGTGAATAGCAGAGCCACATGTCCTAATACATGTCAGCCTGGCGCCACTATTGTATGCAGAGCTATTTGCATATATATATTTCTATCACTACCCTGGTTCAGTATCAACACCCTCTGATATGCATTTCCCAGCACATAAATGTGAGCAGCACACACTGGCTGCTCTGAGGTCGTTCTTTGCACTCACTTGCAACCTTCGTGGTTATTTGCACTTTCACACATCATCTTCACAAAAGGCTGAGCTCAGCTTATTAAATGTTTGACAGAATATTGCTGCTGTGACTGAAATATTACACTTGAAACCTCACAGATAGCAATGGCAAGATTAAAAAGAAAATAGGTACCTTTCCAGCAAAGGGTTAGAAAGTAAAATGCAGCAGTGAACTGCTTAATGCATGTTAATTCTGATTGATATTATTCTTCCTCCACAGATGTTGAGCTAGAAAATATCTGTATTCTCTCATAGCTCGGCACTTTCCTTTGTTTCCTCACTGCAGCTGCAGACTGATGGATCTAAAAGGTGAGTTTACTTCACCAGCAGGTTTAAAGTTCTATTAGGCTACAGCTGGAGATTTCATTTTCAGTTTTAACAATAGTCTAGACAGATGTGCATCTCCAACAGGGGTAAGGAAAGTTCTTTGATGAGCAAGTCAGCTGGCCATGCTCGCTATTGCAGCAGGACAGCCTCTCACCCTGGTGGGCTTTAAGCTCTCCAGTGGAGCCCTAGACCACTTCTTGGAAAGAAAGCCCTTTTAGGGAAGCCCTGAACCTACAAATGTGTATGTAAATTGAAGTGACAGGCAGAAAAGAAATAGGTCTGGTGTGAGTGACATGCCTAATAAAAAAACCATTAATTATCAATGATTTTCAGCCTTCACTGGTAATTTATTCCAAGATAGAAGGTAAATTTCTGATCCCAACATTACAAGCAATGTCAGTCCAGCTCTTACTTACCTTTCACTGGACATTCAATCAAAATATTTGCTCCAATTCTTGCCACGATTGTACCTCCAACAACTGCTGAGAAGCTGCTGGCTTCCAGATTTGTCATATTTAACACAGAGGACAAGATGACAGGCACCTCTTTGAAATGAAAGGAATAGTAAAGCTTTATTTAACTTCTAAACATAGATCTTGTATTTAAATTCATCATGTTTGGAACAGAATTCAGTCTGCAAAGCAGCAGCCGGAAAAGACAGGTGGGACAGATACAGGCGGACTGAGCTCACACCTGTTGTGGTTTTAGAGCAGCAAGACCATCTTACTGCTGCCTATTAAATCAGGCAGAGTTTCAATAAGAGAAACTATTTCTCATTGCAGTGGGCATGGGTATTTATACACACATATATATGTCTGTGTGTATGTGTATATATATATATATATTTGTGCATTTGTGTGTCTGTGTGTAAAAGCCTGGTTTTGTGGAATGCCACTGTTTTACCTGCACGCAACAGCAGTGATGTTTCCATGTCAAAACCAGAGTCATTAACAACCAGGCATCCATAGGTACCAAGCTCCTTCTGAGTAGGATTCCGAATCTGCACTCTTCCGGTGGTGTCCAGGATCACCCTGCACAATAACCAAGGAAACACAAGGGTTACTACCCTGGGACAAACCCAGCTGAATGCCCTTGCAATAGTTACAGAGAGAGCAGCAAAGCTCCGTTTTAGGAGTTTGCAGACCCAGGGCAGCACAGGCAGTCCCAGCTCTGCCTCCTCTCTGGTGGCAGAAGGGGAGCACTCAGGGATACACTCAGGGAGGATTGCTCACTTGCAGCCCTTGGAAGGGCAGTGAGTTTGCTACCACAAACCAGGATCCCCTGGGCACAAAAGTGTGAATAAATCAGAATACCACAATTAAAAGTATTAGGCTTGGCAAGAAATCGATCTCTCCGGAGCAAGCTTGGTTTTCAGCAGGATTGGGGAAGTCACAAAACTATGGCCTGATCTGACTTTCAAATTACAATGAGGTTGGGGTTGTTGGGGCTTTTTTTAAATGTCATCATTGAAGCTAAAGTCTTCCACCAAAACCTCACAGGTGTCTTGAGTACCTTGCCTGTCCTGTGAGGAGGATCACAGCTTAGGGCAGAGGCTGAAAATAACAATTTTTCTCCTCTGTTACATCTCTCAGCACTAAGTTACATGACTTACCATACACTCAGGTCAGCCCAAAAACCTGCAGCTGGTTTTTTCCCCCCACTGAATACATTTACATAATAGATTAACAAAAAATAATATTAAAAACACTTGTATCTCAACAAAACAAGCCATTTCATGCATGGCTCGAGTTCATCCTTTTTTACAAACCTGACAGATAAAAACCATTTACCTCCTCACACTCTTTCAGATGCAATGCTATTAACATCACTTTTGGATCCACACACATATATATAGATTTGTATATAGGAAACCTTACTAGGAAAAAAATTAGGAAATAAACCTACTTTGCTTAATATATGAGTTAAGAGCAAGAATATCAATCTGGGCTGAAATTAGGAAGCAAACATACTCATGAATAAACAAGACACCATCATGTCCACAAAAATTGAAGTATCACTTGCTACAAATTAATGGAAAATGATGCACATTTCACAAAATAAACATAACTGGTGTTTATTAACTGGTGGGAGCCACATGATTCCAAAAACATTTTCAATTTTAAAATTATTTCGTTTGGGTGTCTTTGCTTTAATTGATAGCCCTGCAGAAATATATTTTTCTTGGCAGTGCATTTAATCAGTTAAATATGTTGAGAAATATCCAAAAGCATCTTTATCATTTCAGAACCAGTTTTTTCATTACTCAAGAGCTAGCTATAATTCCAAGAGGCTCACACACAAAGTTAATGTTGATATTACCAGGTGAGCTTCTAATTTATCAACACTGAAGTATTTGTTCAGTCTTGAGCAAATATCTGATTGTGACAGCTTGCTGTACTCATTTGTCACTCTCAAATGCAATTGTAATAAAGGTTCTTTATTATTCTGAATTTCACTGTCCTCAACAGAAATATTTTAAAGTATTGAAAAACATCCATAAAAGCTCATATTTTTCTTTTTCAACTGAAGTTATGCAGCTCCAGGAATACTTAAATAGTGTGTTGAAGAATGGTGTGGGTACTATTGATATTTTCCCTTCTTAAAATGAGTAAGAGCTAAGACTTCTTTTCATCTATACCATGACAGATGTTTTTAATGTGTTCCCACTGTATTTAGTATCTGAACGAATCCAATAGCCTCTCTAATTTGAGGGTAAATCTGCTCTTTTTCTGACACAGCTGAAATGATTAAAGCAGATCAAAAAATACAGCCAGGACATCCAAAACACTTCACCTTATAAAAATAGTAAATCGTCCTATGTAGTATCCTGGAAATGGCCAAACACTTGGATTCAGTAAAGCCAAACAACGTGACAGACACTTGAAAGAATAAAAATAAATTACTTTACTAGAAAGATGGCAGGCCCAGTGGCCATGCTTATCTCATTTTTACAACAGTATGTTCTAATATTGCACAGCAGGGTGGATTTTTTCCGTCGACAGCGCCATAGTAAGTCATTCAAAAGTAAAAGAGAAGCTATTTACTTACTTTGCAGAGGCTTTTAATGTCTCGCCATCTTTTGTCCAAGTATATTTCACTTCACTCATACCAGCTGTTTCACACAGTAGATTGACAGCATGAGTATTCTTGGTCAGAAAAACTGTATTTCCAATTCGTACAGTTACTGTTTTGTTGAAGGAAACTTGAGGAATTTCCTTTTGCCTCATAATAACTGGAACCTTCTGGTCAAACATTAACTTATCGACCGCTTTCGTGCTGAAACGTTCGGATTCGTTTGGCAATTTGCTTGGGAGTTTCGAGGGAACTTTCTCATCCTGGGCCCCCTTCCATTTTTCAGCAGTTGGTTGTGGATATCTGGATAATTCAGCAATCAACTGGAAGATGAGCTGGGATGCCAGGTCATCACTGACTTCTCCAGTTTCAATGAGCTGGCTCATGTTCCTCATGAGCTCCTCAAACTGAGCCGTGTCCATGCTGTAGGCACCCTGGAGAACTGCAGCCTCCAGGCGCCTGTTCCTGAACTCTCGAGAGCTGAACTCTTCTGCTGAATTGCTCCCAAAGCTCCCAAGGTTCCTCAGGAACGGCTGATCATTGACTTGCCTGTCACCCAGGTAGAGCTCGTTCTTCTTGCTCCACATTTGCCACATTTTGCTCATCTTGTGCCATTTGGCCCCGAGGCTGTTGGCTTCGTTGTGATCTGGGTGGCTGGGCTGGCTGGGCTGCTTTGGAGGGGCTGGGGGCTCGATGAGCCTGTTGTCAGTCCCGATGAGTTTGAGCACAAAGGTCTCGTGCGCAGAGCCCGCGATGCACCGGTACACACCGATATCCGCAGCCTCCAGGCAGTGGATTTTCAGCGAGCCTGACTTAGTGATGCCAAGCCTTTTGGAGTTTTCTAAGTGCTGCCCATCCTTCTCCCAGCGGATAAGGGACTTCTGGAACCTTCTCACGGGGCACTTAATGACCACGGATGTTTTTGGGAGTAGGTAGGCTCGGCTTCCAATGGTAAAGTTAATGCGCTTCTCTGGCCGTGTCTGAATATAAACCCGGTGAATGCTGACAATCTGAGGTCCATGGGCAGAAAACTTCGCTGGAAGCTTGGGCTTGATCTCTGCAAGAAAACAATGTGTTGAAAAGCATCTAGTCATTGGCAGTCATGCTTACAAAATCTGCTTTTCACGGAATGCTTGAAAGAGCTTTTCCTGACTTTGTTCAAGTCAGACTGCAACACACAGAGCTTTTATCTGAGTCACAAAAATGCAAAAATATGAACAACATGAAACCATAACATTCTCTTGCTTTGGCCAAGAATTCTATTGCTTCTTCCCCAGATCTCCTAACAAGAAAAGGATCCATATACCTATGCAAAGGAGGTAGATAGTGAACACATATATGAAAGGATATGTACACATACTATATATTACTCCATGTATATGCTCATATTCCAGTTATATTTCCTACAGCTGCCTCAGAAAGGCTAGGCATGATGGAAATGAAAAAACCGAATTAAAAAAATGTGAACACATTATCACTTTCCCCACATTTGAGCACTGTTGAGTGCAGAATGACCTAAATAAAACAAAATCTATCCAAAATGTAAGGCTCCCCTTGACTCTTATTTAAAATGTTGGCTGGCTGTGCTGGTTGCCTGAGTCAAGCCAAACTGATAGCAGTGCAGGAGGTGAAAGAAACAGTCAGTGAAGACACAGCACATGGAACAGGCAAAGCCACCCTGTAATCACACGCTGAGGCTAATTCATTAGGGTTGAAAGATGAGTTGCTGACAGTATTGTGCCAAGAAAGCAGGGAGGGAAGCGAGGGAAGAGAGAAATAGGGCAGAATTTTGAGAGGCTGAATAGAGCGATCAGATGAATTACAAAACAGGCAATAACAGCATAAAGCTTTGTGCAGGCTGGGTATAGACACACAGGGTATTATGAAACTGCTCCTGCACTGAAACACAGGCACCTGGATGCTGGAAGGTTTCTGGGGAGCTGCCTGGATGAAGATGCTGGAAGGCTTCTGGGGAGCTGCCTGGATGAAGATGCCGGAAGGTTTCTGGGGAGCTGCCTGGATGAAGAGCACCACGGCAGGCTTTCCCAGCAGAGCTGGGAGGCACAGGGGTGTTTTGGATGCAGAGCTCGGGATGCCGCTGTGCTGACTCAGCGCTGGCAGCAGCAGTGCCCGCTTTGATCGGCGGAGCGAGCCCGGCTGGGAGCGCCGGGCAGGGAGGGACCGAGAGCGGCAGGACAGGGACGCGCACACCCCGAGCCCTGCCCGGCCGGGTCCGATCGGCCACACGGGAAGGGTCGGGAAACAACGCTGCTGGTGCTAGAAAACAGCCCTGCAGTGCTCGGTGACCCAGCGCTTTGGTATGTGACGGAGAGAAAACTCAGAGCCCGCAGAAGGAGCTGATGGCCAGGAAATGGACACAGGGATCAAAACATTTCTCAGCTCGTCTGAATCTGAAATCGGTGCTGCTTTTCCACTTGGGAGGTACTTAAATAAAAAGACAACTAGGCTGATGGCACAGAAATGATACCCGAAAAACTGTGTATACATGTGCTACAAATATGCTGTGAAGAAATAGGTGAAAAGCTAAATGCTTCAAGCATTCAATAAGTGTGTACACTATAGGAACTACACCCTGGAGTGCGTTCTTATGCTTATAAAACAAAATGGTTATTTTCAATGTTTTGGGTAATGAGTTCAGACCTGTGGGGATATCATGGTTTCATAATTACACAGCTTTTAAATCGGCATTTGTTATCCAGACACAAGGTTCCCTCAACCATTTCACATGGTACAACAATTAAATTGTTTTAGGCACTCAGTTTACTAAAATTATTAAAGTAGTGTCCTGTTTTTAATAAGTTATTGGGCCCCAAATATTTCTTTTCAGGGAAGCGTTCCAGTATTAAATATTCTATTTCCAAAATCCGACTTACAGACACAGTAAGTGTAATTTTAAACACACAAATTAAAATACTTCAGGCTGTGGTCTGTTTACACTAGTTATTCCAGCTTAGAATTAAACCCAGTGTATACTTATAAATATGTTAACAAGTCTCATCCATTTCATTTCTTTAAAAAAGACAGACCACTAACTCTCATTAGCAGCTCAACACTAAAAGGTGTGTGTATTTTTACTGGTGACTGGTGAGCAAGGCTGAGAGTGAAACAAAGTTCAGAGTTGTGGATGGCAGGCCATATAAATATATAAGGTCACATGAATGTATGAGGCCACATAACTTTGCATTCTCTAGGTCCTTACTGTCATTCAATCTTGCAGCTGCTGAGGTAATGGACTGTTTGGGAGGGTAAAGGTAAATCTTATGGAATATGTGCTGGAGCCTTTGGACCTCATTATCACCTGGTAGAAATCCATCTGCATCTGTGACCTGTAATGGTCCTGAACAGCTTCAGCTGGGTTTCAGATCCTGGTGACCTCAGGGCTAGACTGGTGTTATTTCCTATTTCTCAGAGCCCGGAGTCAGGAATGTTTCTACTTAATAAGCACTCCTAAGTCAGAAAACAGCTACAATTACCAGTCTCAGGGTAAAAGATTAAGTCTAAAATGACTCAGCATTGTCATGAGACAGTAAAAAAGGCACTCATGTGAGTCACAGAAGCATCACCTTGAGGAGGGAGATTTAGAAACTGCTCTCCAAGGCAAGAACCTCCAACAGCACTCACACCACACTGCTCCTCACCCATCCACATCACTCCTTGTCCTACAGAGGACATGTAGATGCAGAGGAGATGCCTCCTGCATGTTCCTGGGAATCCAAAGGCTGCTGCTGTCCCAGCCCTGGCTCCTTCTGCAAGACTCAAGCAGGAACTGCAGGTGTGGAGCAGCCTCCCACCCTCCCCTGCCCTCCTGCTGCATGTGAGAGAATCCCCAGGCAGATCCGAGCTGCAAAGGCTCCCTTGCTCCTCAGGGAGGTGGAAATGCAGGGAGAGGACAGTGATTCTCTTTATGGCTTTGATCTGCTCCCATTCTGGCCCATGTTGCTCCCTCTGCAGCCCTGTGTGCTGCTCTCTAGGCACTGTGCTGGAAGCTGACATGGTAACATTAATATCAGTCTGAACTAAGCAACTTGCAAAGCAGCTCCACTGCCATTCAACTATCCACAATTAATTAAATTCAGATAGATATGCAACTCAAAATATTTTATTAAACCTTATGCCAAGGACATTCCTGAAAGTCCACAGGGCTTTATTTAAGTGGAGTTTTGAACCTCAGGATTTTGGCATGTTAATCTGAAATGCAGGCCAGGAAAAGAAGTTTCATATTATGTATGAATCAGTAATTATTCTATTTCTTATGTTGTTTTGTGAATAATTTTTAAAGCAAAGCTTCAAAATGTATGAAGTAGCTATTTTTTCACAACACTGTGAGTTGAGTCAAAACATGGTTATATCTGACCTGTGATCAGAACCAGGCCATTGACAAAGGCTTTTTGTTTTCCCCCAGCTCAAAACTAAAAACTTTTTCCCCCTGTTCTCTCACCACCTCAACACCACTCCCCAAATCTGCAAACCAATACTCTCCATTAAAAAGAAGAGGAGCACAGGTTCACACATAAGGAACCTGCATTTAGATCTGCCTATTCTAAATTAGTGTATGTAATTGAACACACTCTGTATCACAGAGGGTTTTCCATCACTGTTAAACAATTAGTGCAACTACCATCAGTATCATAACCCAATTGTGCCCAAATTGTACAATTTGCACAGACAATCCTTCGGAAAAGATTCTTATATAGACAGTAATAAAACATCAGATTTTTCAAATAATGTCTGTATTGTCACCATTCTCTGTGCAGCTAATGAAGCCAAGATTGTAAATTTTACAGGGAGAGATAGAAATTATACCTAAAATTATCACTGGCACAGAGTTTCAGGTTTTGAATTCCACCATGTTAAGCAAAATGTCCAGTGTAATACAAACATACAGAGAAAAGACAAGGCAAAACTGGATTCTTATCTTTTCTAATGTCCTTTCTAATTTATGTTAAATTTATTATTTTTTTTCTCTTTTTTTCCAGTTGGAGTAGTGTAAATGATAAAGGAAAAATCAGATCAAATGGTGCATAAGAGTGAGGGTGAGAGGTATGCACCATAATATATATTCAAAAACTACTTCTTGGGATCATAACCTTTGTTTTTGAGTGGTGGAAATAAAACTAAAAGCAATCCTGTTATTACTGGTACAGTAATTATGACACTCAGTTAGTGCCAAGTTATGTTGTGATAGTATAGGGAGATGAGTGAATTAATGTGCATACACATTTCTCTTTATAAATAGATCATTCCAAATCAGCAAGGAACTAGATAAATTCACATACTTACTGTTGCAGGCATTCATCTGACAAGACCTTACAAGCAGTGAAGGAGACAGAGAACTGCACATCGATCCATTTAATGTGACATATTGGCCCTTTGCTGTGAGGTTTTGGCAGGCAAGTTTCCTTCTCTGGATTCCAACACCACAGCTTACTGAGCACTGTGAAAGGAAGGATGCAGTCAAGCTAAACTTGGTGCTCCACACCACACATGCTAATTTTAAACTAGTTTGTTTTGTGGTGGTTTTCTTTTAATATTTTTTAAAATTTTTTTTAGTTCTGAAAGAGTACACACACTCTACTTCATAGGAATCCTTGTTTTATCTAGTTATTAGACTGTAATATTAGTTATTAAACTCTCTCCACTTTTCCAGGCAATAAGAATATAAGAGAGACAGTTTTTCCAGCAAGCAAGTCATTAATTAAAGTAACATGACAGTGTTTATGCCCAGCCATGGGCAAAACAGAGCAATGAGATCTGGTACCTGAGAGAAACAACTCAGCAGGTTCTAAACAGTCTCTGGTAAGTCTCTCAACCCTCTCTGAAACTGTAATTGCAGCTTCTAAATTCAATTTTCTAAATCATTTTGAATGGGGAGTGGTAGCAAGCTTGCATTAATCAGGAAAGGAGGAGGATGTATTCCAGAATAATGCAAAGATTTGCTTTTTGGAAGCTGTACCATGAAATTATTGATAGCACACATGTCTGGTGGAAAGCATGCAATGGCCTGCAGTGACTGAAGCACTGTGGTCAGTCTGGCTGCAGGCAGGCACGCACAGTTTAGTTCAGGACAGGCTTTGTGACAGCTTCAGCTGCCCTGGCAGCTCCAAACAGCTCATGGACCCAGGCAGAAACCTTCAGAGCTTTTGTTACAACGGAGGGTTTTGGTTCACCATCATTGAGGTTTGCTCACCTTGGACCATTCTCCAAAGACCAGCTGAGGAGGACAATCAACTTTTGCACAGGCTTTACTAGCTGGCAATTTGGGTTCCTGGCAGGTGTCATCAGGGAGTTTCAGGAAACTTCCATCTGTCAGCAGCTGCTTACAGGACACCCTGCGGGTCTGAATCCCTCCTCCACAGGTACGTGAACACTAAGGAGGAGAATCAAATACAGCATTTACACCTGCATGGACATCTCTGCCCCTGAAAAATGACATCTACTTTCAATGAGATATCAAGCAGCATGGAAAATTCAATGTTAAAATATTTAATATATTGGAGATGAGAACTGGAGATAATATGTCAAGCATACTACTGAATGCATGGAAGTAGTAGAAATCTGAGAGAAAAACATGCATCTTATGCATAAATCTATGTCACTCACCAGTTAATACATCAAAAAAAGAAAAGAAGGTTATAGTGTTTAGAGAGCATAGGGAGAGAGATAATGTATGGAATAACAGGTATCCAGCTTCCTGAAAGCCTAACAAGGAGTTCCACCTCATCCTGTGATTACTCATCAGCACAGGAGTCCAAAGCAATGCTTTTGGCTTAGTTTGTTCTATGATGGAAGTTGAAACACCCACAGAAGGTCAGGAGCTGCCTTCCATGCAGAAAAGTCAAGTCCCTGGCCAGAGGAGCCCATTCAGACTCTTCCCGTGACCCAGCCATACCTGTTGCCATTCCTCAGCGTGCCAAGCAGGGGGACAATCAATCTGGTTGCAGGCTTGCAGAGAAGGAGGCTTTGGCTCGTGGCACTGGTGGGCAGCAGGAGCGGACGCCCCGGGCTGCTGGCAGGACACGGCGCGGCTCTGGATCCCCACCCCGCAGCTCGCCGAGCAGCGGCTCCAGGGGCCGCTCTGCCACCTGCCCCAAAACACACCAAAAGCTCTCCTGCAGCAGCCCACCTCACCCTGGGCAAGGAGCACTCTCACCCAGACAGAGCCCAGCAAAAAGCACAGCTGCAGGCACAGTTATTGATCGACGGCTAAAACGCCCCTTTGGTTTGGCCGGAGCACAAAAGTATAAATTGGTAACAAGCAAATGCTGAATTTATTAACGATAAAGCAATAAACAGTCATTTTCAGACAAATTTTACTCCAGTATTTACCTTTAGAGTGCTTCTCTTAAAAACAGCCTGTTGGCAACCTGCTGATGTTTACATTGATAAATGTAAATATGTAAATAGACCTTTCTTATATTTAGAAAACTTCCTTTAGATGCGTATGTTTTCTATAAAACATCCTGTTCCTGTTAACTTGTTCCCTACATTTAGCAAGAGCAGGTTCCTGCAAACACATAGAAACAATTTTTAAAGGATCTGGGATGTCGGAGATCAAAAATGGGTAAACAAGTCAGAACACATCAAAATTTCACATACGGCCCTTTCAAGGGATCAAAAGACCTAGAGGTTTTCTGGGATTTAGACTGGGTTTTTTTCTTTCCCCAGAATCTCCAAATAAACATAAGAACTACATGAGGCTACTAAAGAAGCATTAAATTGAGGTGCATTTAAATCATGATTTCATATTTTTTTTTAATTCAGTAAAGATAAAAAGTGAATATCCTCAGCTTTTATTTTGTGAAATATCCTCAAAATTTTCCTTCTACTACTAGAAGAGTTAAGGCTCTTTTTCCAACTCTGGCAGATATTCAACGTGGAAGAGATTTATTTCAGAAAATGTCCCCTATTTCATCAGTGAGATATGAAGAGTGGAAAAGGAGTGAACAAGACCAAAAAACCACCCCAATCCCAAAACCTTGTTGAAAACGGAAGTAGTGAAATTCCATCCCGAAAGCATGACCACAGTCCTGCAACCTGAACCCTTTCTGAGAAAGGCAATGTTTATTTAAGTCCCATTAACCCCTCCTTTGCCATCACATAATTCCATTATTCCAGGGTACCTCGGGGGGCAGAGCTTCGTGTTGCAGGTCCGAGTCATCGGGGGTGGCCTCTTGGAATTGTCACACAGGCTTTCATTGACACCTTGTTTTGTGTCCACGTGCAGACACATGGCAATGGCTTCCTGTGTGCCTGCATTTGAAAGGAAAACACCCATGAAACACTGAAGATGGAGGAGATTTCTGTCAAGTTTGCTCTTGAATAATAATCAGTAAAAAAAGCACTGGATTAGATAGCAGGCTTAAAAGTAACATCTCAAGCAAAAAGGAATGCAGAGACAGTTTATATATTTAATACTCAAAAGATATTTTTTAATGATATCTTAACTTTACTTCTGTGATATTTACAAGTCATCATTTGACATTCTACTGCTCTGAAAACCAATAAAAACCCAGGCTTTTCTGTCAAGCTACTACCAGAGGCTGCATCCACTAGTTCTGTAATGATCCTAAACCAGCTGCTACTTCCATTGCCAAAACTGAGGTGAAAGTGATTCCTTCTCACTTACCTTGCCTTTAATAAAAACCTAAAGATCTGCAAAAATTGTTATAAAATGCAGAAAACTTGCAAAGCTATAGTCAGGAGAAATGTTCTATGTTTAGTCAGCCATTCTCAGTGGCCAAGAGATGCAATGGTTTTGCTGAAGGCAGCAAATCTGACCCAGCCTAGAGCTTTCCTGACTAGTTACCATTCTTGGCACCTTCTGATCTGCAGCTCTTGCTACCTGGATCTTATTACTAAAGCATGGAAGATTACTAATGCTCAAATTTCTATGAGCAAAATGAAACGTAATATAAGTTTCCTTTAGAACAAGACAGCTTAGTGAATACACATTCAGTGAACTACTTCTATTTTAAACTTGTGCAATTATCCAATTTTATATATCATATTTTTTTAGTATGAAAGCCTTGCTCAGTTTCAAAGCTCACTCACATGCACATAAATTACAAGATGGTTGTGATGTGCCTGGGGGATTCTGTGTATCAGGGTTGTTCTATACAAGCAATGCTAATGATCCAAATCCTACAGAACAAATGAATTGAAATCATAAAATACCTTTATCGTTTCCAAGTAAAAATAGCTCTTGAAGAGCCAGTTTAATAGAATTTAAATTCCATTCCCTTTTGTCTTTCACTTATCTTCAGTGATTTTTGTAAGGATATTGCTGACCACCAGCCATTTTAATTCCAGTGGGCTGGAATAGCTGAGACAGGAAGTTCTACCCCCAGGCCAACATTTCTCTCCTGTACACAAGCACTGTCATTTTTTCATAAATCAAAGATGTTCCTTCCATCTATAAGCAATTTTGATTCAGTCCAGTGTGTTAGCCAGCCCAGGCCACAGTCCCACTTGAGCCAGCCCAACTACTTCAGACACCTCAGCAGGGGTAAACCAGTAGCAATTTTCAGAATAACACAAATTCCAATTTCTCTCAGGCTCTCTGGTACACCTTGAGATCCCCTCTGGGACTCATTTGCAGTTCAGAAAGCCCTTGTTATATAAATGTTTTGACTACATCTACAAAGTGATGAATTTTTATAGAACAAAAGAGCTGACCTTAAATATGATTGACAACCTATTCAGTTCTCTTCAATCAAAGTATTGATAATTCTGTTAATGTAGAACATACACACATTGTAGGAAAACTACTTTACTAGTCAGGCTGAGAATAAATATTTAACAACAAATACCATGATGGCAAAACAGGCATGAAAATGCCCAAAGATGACAAAGCAATAAACATAATTTTTCTTATAGAAGTTGGGGAATCAAAAGCTTTCTTTGAAGTCAATCCTCAAGTGTTTGCTTAACAGGAGCAGCTTCCCTTTCCCCTTACATAGGAAATGCACATTTGACTGTCTGCAGGAGAGAAGGAAGCATTTAGGGTTGGGTTCTGACAGAAACAGATTTGCCTTACCAGACAAGTAATAAAATCCATGCCAAGCATCCACATAATCTATATTTTAGGTCATAATCTACCCTATGCTACCACACTTTAGCTTTGCTCCCTGTGTTGCTGCGAGAAAACCTTGCTCCAAGGTGATGCTCTGGAGCAGGTTGTACCACATAGAATTGTCTTAACATCTCACACAAAGGAGGGGAATGAAATTAAATTCCCCTCAGACCATCTAAATTGGCAATAATGTCATGGGAAATTTTTATGTTGGTGTTATGTAAGCTAAACTGGCCAGCCAAATGAACAAGAGGCATGTCATAGCAGGTGATGGGGTCTGTCTACAAATTGGCACCTGGAGTTCATTAAGGGGTTCCTGCCTTGCAGCAGGACCTGTAGAGCTTTAATCACATTAAGAGAAGAAAATGCTGATATGTGGTGTGTTTTTCATTTGACTGGAGTACAGAGCACAAACTGCATTAGCAATTCTTCCCCACAGGGGCCTCAATGAAAGGAAACTTGCACCCTGTTTTGATGCTGTAAGTACAAAATGGATACTAAAGAGTTGTTAAAAACCCACCACGAAGTCCTTCCTGTTCCTTCGTTCACAGTTCAAGAACTCTATTCAATAAATAACTGCACCTAATTGATGTTAAATTTGCTTGAACTTAACTGTCAAAATGTCTTTACAATTAATCAGATTTCTCACCCCAAAGTATAATTTTCCATTAGCTGGGAACTTCAATCGCTGATAAACTTATTCTATGTCGATTGGAAAATGGAAAAATCTATTATTCAAACAAGCAAAGTTTTATATGTATGACTTTCTTGGCTTATAATATAAACATAGTAGATAATTTAACTAAAACATTATGTATGCAGCAGGGAGCATTAAGTATTTTTACAGTAATCTGATGCACTATTGTAGTAATTACCCTACTATTCAGTGAAATAGAATATTTTCTATTTTAACCCAGCATTCAAACCACATACATTTACATTCTTCTACAATCTTTCCTGTGCAATGAAATACACAGTGCTTGAAGCTGTTTTAAAAGAGCAAAATGCTTGAATTAAGCCCAGAATTTCTCTTCCTGCATTTTTAAAGTACAAAGAAAATGGGGGTGAAAAGTTGCTGCACAAATGTTAAAAAGGTGGATCTATTCTCTATACCTGGAAGAGGAAGAACATTTATTTACATCAGACAGTCTCAGTTTGGTGGCTTCTTAAAAATATTTACTATAAGCTGAAAATAACTCAGAAGAAATGCCAAATTCTACATATCCTTGAGCCTCTTAGTGCATCTATTTTGTACTTCTGTCAGAGAGTAAACAACATCTGCAGCTAATGAAACAAATGACACAAGTGACCAGCTATCAAGGTGACTCCAACAAAAGCTGAGAGCAAATTTTCTCAGCTTTATATGTGAGTCTCTGAACGGTCATTGTTTTTCTTAGAACCCTTAAATTTGGCTAGAATCCATTAATATTCTAAGAATCTCAGGTTTCTCATAAATAAAATGGTAAACTTTGAGCTCTTATGGTCCAGACAAAAGCCTGAAAACACAACTTGACTGCACTCTGAAGTTACCAAAGCCACAGAGGCTATAGAGGAAATAACAGGAAGTGCATATGTTATTTATTGCTTAATCACATTATTTTTAGGCCAATGTAATGACTTTAGGTGGCCCAAATAACCTTTTTTGAAGCATATAGAGTACTACTACTAATAATAATTACATTTAACCACCAAAATCTTCCTCTTGCAACTAAACGTATATTTAAACAAGAAAATGTTCAGAGATCTTTAAAGTGAAAAGCATCCCTTTAAAATATTGTTGAGTAGTAAATGATTGACAACACTAAAGAAATGCTATAGATTACAACAAAAACATTTCTCTTCAGGCATATTCTTTATTCTCATAATGATTATTAATTCCCTACTGATAATATTATGTAAATTAAACTTACATCTGGGGCTCTCACATCACGGCCAAAGCTCTTCAGATTGAAAAGAACACAAAAACAAAACCAAAGAAACCCAAAAAAACATTCGGGGAAAATGAAGGCAAATTTTGAGATCCCCAAGCATGCAGCTGGCTTATTTTCAGTTTGGGATTTCTTCAGGCACTGAATAAGAAACCAGATCTTTAGATTTCAGACTGGTTACAGAGCTTCCTAAGGGTATTAAAGGTGATGTCTGCCTATGACTAATAGGCCTCGACAACTTTTATTTACACTCATGGAAAGACTGATCAAGGAAGCATTAATTATGCTAAGAGGCATAAAACAACTCAGCTGCACTCAAAAACCTCAACTTGTTTGGCTCTTCACGTGCTGTGTGAGAAGCCACAGAGGTTTGGTGCAGAAGGCACATAAGTGACCCGAGACTGGGGTGACTGCTGCTCTAGAACTGGAAAGATGATGTTTGATAACACCTTGCAAATCACTCTCTCTAAGTCTAATACCCAAAAAACCCAATGTTTCCATCTGCATTTTTTCATCTGCTCTGCACAGGGACCAGAGGAGACTGAATTACAAGTCTAGTCTGTGTGAGGATTAAAAAAAAGGTGCAAGTGACAAGCTCTGAAAGAGAGATTCGGACTTTGCTCAAATATTGGCCATAAAAGCTTCCAGCCTGCTTAGAGCCTGCCGAATTTTCCCTCATTCAGAAAGAGTTAAGCACCAAGAAACGGGGGCAGGGAGTTCCAAGGATACAGAAATCCACAGGAATTTGTTTTAACAGCCACTGCTAGATGCATACATACTAGAGAAAAAGTACCTAATATAATTTACATTACACTGGGTTATTCCAAACTCAGACAACATTTATTTCTTATAACGAAAGAGTTCATCTAATTGAAATGAGATTTGAACATAAAACTTAGCAGAAATGGATCAGCTCCTTTGAACTACACAATGGAAAAATAGTAGACAGTGAGATCATTAGCTAGTACATTGCAGTGAGCTGGAAACAGAAGAGATGTCTGGTTCCCTTAAAACTATTTATCGGCAGGTAATATTTGGTCTGTTTGAAAGCCTTTGCCAAGGCAGCCAGAAGACCAGAGCTGATAGAAAGGAAAAATTGCCTTACTAGCACACCAATATGGGGGCTTCTGAAGCTGCTCATTGATAAAACACCCTGACAACTTCCCACATTTCCCAGGAGCATCACATAAGGAAAATGTCTAGACACAGTACCAGTGATACCACAGAAGTCTTAAAAACACAAACAGATATTGTCTTTCAGACTTCTTCAAGTGAGTCATTTCCACTGCATAGCAAACAAATTGTTAGATTACTATGAACACCTACAGGACAATTCTGGGTCAGGGAATCTCACAAATTCATGAAAGGTCAGAAGTTAACAACAGAGTTCATGCTCGGCTCCCTCAGGAACAAAATTTAAGCTGAACACAAGATTCTGCTTATCAGTCATTTTGAAGTTCCTTCCAATGAAACTGCTGTGTTCAGTGCAGACTCCTTAAATTACCATCAGTCTGCACACCAAGTGCAAGTTTTTATGGGGATGCTTTTGCAAGGACAAACTCACCTTTGAAGATGCAGAATGCAATTGCAATATGTGCAACAGCAGGCAAAGACGAGAGATTATTTCAGCCTACATATCTGATTATGTCCTCAAAATTCAAAAACCTTGGAGTTTTAGAACACCTCTGGCAAAGACACTGGCTAAAAAGCAGTAAAGTGGATTTAAGATGGCAAGAAAATGGTTGTATGTTACAAAAATCAGTTAAGACACCATAACTACAAATTTAGTATTAATGGATGGGTTGTTCTGGTTTACAGCACAATTTCCTTATTTCTAAAAACATTTCTCTTATTAAAATATGAATCAGAGTCACTCAGCCACAATAGCTGTCACTACCATCTCATGCTGCTACAAATACATTTGGACTACAATCTCTCCTCCCTAGCCATGGTGTCCACTGCAGGTAGTGCAGGGAATGGGATGCTGCAGCTTTTGTGATCACAGGTGCTGTTATACCTATGGATCAACCCCCTCAGTAAGCAGCAGTGTTAAATGATAAAGGAGGCACTATCAGTCACTTACCATGCTGCTGATCCCATTCTGGGGCATCCCTCCCAGCTTCTGCCTTCCAGCTCTGAGCTGGTGAGCAGCACCAAGAAGGGAGGCTGCTGTCTGTGAGCTCTATCTCGCTCCCCACTTCCAATTGTTTCTGTTTCCCCTTTTTCTACATTTTTTATTTCTTCTATGGGTACAACTGTCTTCACTTCCCACTGATGTCAGCAGTCCTGTCATATATAGGTGTGTTCACAATTCCACTGCCTCCACTTAACACTTCATAACTCACTGTGCTCAGTCCCAAAGTACAGTAAGTAGTAGCAACACCAGCAGCCTTGTCTGGTAACATGTACTTAGGACGACAGGGAGATTCGATTACATCCAGGCAGGAATGTGCCTAACTACTTGCAGACAGATGTATGGCACAGAGCTCCAGGCAGTGATACAGAGCACCCAGACCCAAACCAGCTCCTGTTTGATCTCCACACCAGCCAGGCTGGAAGCAAGTCTCCCTAATTACAGCTATGTATTCCCACTGTTCTGCAGAAAATGGCAGCTTTTTGGAAGAAAAGGAATAAACATGGGAATTTTTACTCTGAAACCGCACAGTTTTGGTTCCTAGGAAAAGGTAGATCATCTAAACATCTCCACCACTGATGTATCAGACATACTGGTACCACAGAGGGCCTGGCAGCTGATACTCCTGCACCAGCAAGACTAAAGCAAGTTGCTCTATCAACTTCCTGCACCTTGCTTTACCCAATAAGTGTTTGCCGAAGGAAAGGAAATAGTTTGAAATACTCTATTGATATCCAAAAATATGTTAAAGCTTGTAGCTGCAGGTTTTCCTACAGATCAACATAGTTACTTTAAGGTAACACTAACAGGAGATGCAACAACACCAAACAATGCCAAATTCTTACAACTCAGGATAAATTAAGAAAAAATAAAAGGTACCTCCAAGACATGTGGCTGAGCATGGGGTGAACCCAATATATTCCCAGTCATACATCCCAGTGCCATCTTCAGCACGAGGAAATTCTGGCGTGTAGGGGACAGGATCACTGTCACAGGAGGCCTGGTGACAGACCCGTTCTGTGGGTGGCCTCTCATCCTCACATTCCTCCTCGGGCAGCTCCACCTCGGTCTGAGTGAAGGCGAGGAGGATCCGGCACTTCACCTCTCGCACCTGGATGCCACTGCCACACGTGGCACTGCACGGGGACCAGGGCTCAGGAATAAACCTGCAGATGATCACAGCACTGTCATTCATTCCATGTAATTGTGTGCACAGCCAAAACACAGCCAACACACAAAAATGGGTGGTTGTACACTCAGCAGATAATACATCATACTGACGCTTAAATAGAATGCACAATCAAGTATCTTAAGTCTCACACTTGACTCTCACATCCCAGACCATTTACCAAAATTCATACAAGATGATGTAGGAAAAGAGGAGAAAGAATCATGAGGATCAGGGAGAGCTGTATCCTTTGCTGAGGAAAAAGGAAAACACTTAAATCTTTTCTCAGTCTCTTTCAGGAAAAAAAGGAGAAACTCCAGGAAGATGCATCTGTACAATAGAAAATAACTCCCCAGATACACAGACTTGGACATATGCCAAAAAGTGTATTTGCAATCTGCTTAAATCTGAGAGGTCCTCACCTTATGTCATACTAATAATCAGCAACCAGAGAAGAGAAGCACTTTCCAAATGGAGCCATATCCAGTGCAGACCACTGCAGGCTCATCTCTCATCTTCAATAAAGAGGTCTAACCAGTCTACAGTCCATCATTTTTATTAGAAAGCATTTATGCTCCTGATGAACTACAATAAAATCTCATTTTACAGGTCACAAATTTGTTATAATATTCTCTGACTTTGAGGGTCACATTAATATCTGACAGTAATTTTCAAAATGGCACTAGAGACAAGGAGTTGGATTTCATTAATAAAGTTATCCTGGGTGGCTCTGGGGTGTACTTTATGAGAAGTCAAATACAGAATTTCCTAGAAGTTTTTTTCCCCAGGAAAAGGCTGCAGTTGGTCTTTATTATGTGTCCAAATGTAACTGATGATCAAAACACCAGTGGGACATATAGGAGGATAATTTGACCAATGTTAAAAATGTATTTGGAAAAAAAGATCCAAATTAGGATTCAAAGATTTGGCCCTTATCTTGGATAAAGAATTATCTTTCCCTTACTGCAGGAAAGCTGCCCTTACAAACATAAGAACAGTTGTGTAAGACAAAAATCAGTATTTACACTCTGCATACACAGTAAGCACAGAAAAATGTCAACAGTGTGGTTTGATTCTGTGCACAGTTTATCATCTTGCCAATAATTTTTTGCCAGTATACACAGAGGGAGAATCAAATAGAAGAAAGGAGAACAGATGGCTGGATAACCTGTAAGGATTCTCTAAGTCAGTCCTTGGGATAGTCACCAAGGCTGTGATTGGGACAGAGCCCAAAAGTGACTCTTCCTGTGGAAAAGACTGTTCCCATTTCCAACAGAGGTTAAAAGATTAACTGGTTATTCTTTAAGGAGATATTAATGAAATAACTTTAGAGCTCTGCTACAAAGATCAATATATCTAAGCCCATCAAAATTTCTTAGAGTTCTCTCAGAATTTTTGTTAGAGCTCACTGGTCCTCACCAGACTTCAGGAAAAATCACATTATCCCCAGCTCCTCTTGACACCAAGAGCTCCCAGTGCTCATCCCTTCACAAGTCTGAGCACCTTCCTAGATGGCCAGATTGATGTTATCAAGGATGCTATCAGAACACTGCATGGCTGTGTCCTGCAGAGATCAAATCTGAGCAAATGCCAGGTTAGGAGCAGCCCAAGAGCCCACTGAGTCCATGGTGGGGTCAGTGTCCAGATGCCTCTGATATAAACTCTAATGACTATTTTGTGGAAAAGCTGCAAAGGAAGGCTTTCTCCTACCCCAACAGATAAAGTCAGCTTAATCCTGGAACATCAGATCTCACAGTCCTTTCAAAGACAGCCATGCAAACTACCTAGGGTGGCAAAATCACCCTCATCCAATGAAATGCTTAAGCATGAGCCTAACTTTAGCATATTAGAAGACAACAGGATGACATGAGTTCAGAGGGAAACATGTGCTTAAGTGCTTTATTGGATCAAGGCCAGCATGCATAGGCTTAACAGAATGATTACTTTCTTCTCCTTCTGTGTAAAAGAAAAAAATTAGGTCCATTTATACTTATGTACCTAATTGGAAAAATAAAATTGAAGGACTTTTATAGTTGAAAATAGTTGGTCTTCTAACCATACCTAAGTTTATAGTCTGAAAGTAATAACTTATTTTGGTAAAAGCATGACAGAAGCATACCAGAAATTAGTTAGTTTTGTGTACTGTAGTTGAGTGCATTTAAACATTCCAAAAATAATGTATTTCAAAAACATTCTTTTGAAATCCTGTATAAATTAAAGGAAATTTTGAACCACAGTAACAATTTCACTCAGCAACCAACTGATTTATAAAGAAACTCAGAAAATTCTAAGCTTTTTTGCCCTTGACTTATAGCAAGAATTGCTATATTAGAATTGAGCTTTTCCTGATGAATATTAGTGTCTGGTATTTTTTCAGTGAAGTGCAAGATAAAAAATGAACACACAAAATACTTTTTATTGTACCTTGGCATTTGTTAAACTAGTCTTGTGACTATTTACCTATTGAAATCCTAAACTATAAAACTTCTCCAAGGATGATAATGTTTAAGTCACACTAAGTACTTTCAACAGATGCCAATGGAGACTGCTAGTACAAAAGCAGAGCAAGGAACTGACTGAACACTGAGAGAGCTGATTTTTATCTAAATTTTGAGTTCAGGCAGATGGGGCTTTTTTTTAATTTTCCCTTTGTCTTGAACATGCAAAACCAAAGCCTGTGACAGGTCATTAAAGCAAACTCCACCAGCCTCAGATGTGAGGTATTTTGGCATTCACAGCATACACATGGTAATGCTCTGGACAAAATACTTCCCTGAAGTAAACTCAGTCTGCCTTCAATGGGCACACACTCAGAGTCATCTCAGGTCAGGATTAGGGAGCATCAAAGTACTTGTACTACAAGGCTTTGTAGATCGTCAGCAATTTATGAGAATTATGATAATAATGCACAAGATAGTGGTAACTGGAAATTTTCTGAGATCTTTAGGTTTGTTGATGAGACTCCTCTTTTTATTAAAAAAGAAAAAGAAAATAGAAAAATGCAAATTTGATCAGGTACAACTTTTCATAATCAGCTTTTTTACCCAGTCATTCTTCCCAATGCTACATGGAACTAAATTTCTCCTATACCCATCTGAGCAGGTATAAATAATGAAGACACTTCAGATGCAGTGGAGGGGATGTCCATGCTGCAGTGTTATCAGTACAGCACTAATGGAAATGTGCATTCACCTGGCACATGCTGTAAAAGCAAGTGTAGGATGACCTGAGAAATGAAGCAGTGACCTAAACTAATGATGATTAAACTGGGACAGTGCAGTCCAACTCGACCAAATTAAATCTGAACTGAAAACTGAACTCAGTGCAGTCCTCTGCAGCTTACTGAAGACTTGGAAAACATGGTGTCTCTTAATTTTTAATTTTCCTCATGACGATAGTTCTTGCTTTCAGTTAAGACAGGAAATGCCTAAATAATGAGAAAAAAAGGCAGCTCCAGCATTATTTCCAGTCCAGTCCTAATGCACCAAGAGTCCTGGATAAAAGTCTAAAGAAGCATCTACAATGTGGGCTCTTCCTGAGCAGAACTTCCATGGTGCTGGCACCCTACCCCTCCCTGCAGCACCACCCTTGTCTGCCCTGAACAGCCACACTGCTCACTTGGGCATTGAGGTTCTATCAGCCTCCAGGGTAACATGTTGGACAAAATCACCAGCCCATTTTCAGAGAAGGAGCTGCGAGAAATGGGTAATTCTCCATCACCAAAGGCACAGGGGGGACATGTCTGTGAAAATGACTCCAATGCAATAAGTAGGAACCTTTATGAGAAACACTGTATTTCACATCAAATTTTAGCTCATATTGCTGAAAAAATATATCAGTTTTTGAAAGCATTTTAGTTTTTCCCTAAGCAATGACAGAGAAAGGCAGCTGAGGTGTCTATTTCTTTAACTTACAAGTAATAAAAAGGATGCAAGAACTTGCTGGAGCTTCTCTGCGAATCCCACTGTAACTAAGAAGGCTCGAGGGAAGAACATTTAAAATAATGATTGGTATCAACTGTCATCACATTCCACAACTGAAAACTAAAAAGGTCAGACCTACATTTTTCTTGGCCTCACTTTAAGGACAGTCATTTTTTATTTTGCTAATAATAAAAAAAAGAAGCTTTTGAACATTCCCCCTCTATGTAAATTCAGGACACCAGCCGTGGTAGACCACAGAGGCAGAAGTATTTATCTTCCACAAGCTACTTTTGGCATATCCATCACTTGTGGGTTCTAAAACACAGCTGCATTTATTCTCTTATTCATTATCAACTAGAACATCACACAAAAGCATAGAGAGAAAGTTGTCATAAAAGGATGGACTAGAAGTTGAGACTTCATATTGTGGTTTAAATTTGGATGACAAGAGAACAACTAAAATTAAAAGTCATTGCATTTTACTAAGGAAATCATGTCTCTCGCTAGGCAGAGGTGGGCTGTGAGTTATCACTGTGCCATGTCTAAGTTACAGAAAACAAAGTTAAACAGATCTGAATCAGAGGGAAATCTTGTTATAATTTATTCTGGGAGAAGGAACAATTTATTGTCAGTTTCTCTTTAAATCTTAATCCCTGCCCCAAAAATCTGACTCTGGCTGGAAAGGACCAGAGCAGTTTGGGCGTGAGGTTTAAAGCACTGATGGAGAAATTCTCTGGTTGCAAACCATTATTGTCCACATGACCCACAGACAATCTGCAGATAGGAATGAAGTCAGGCATCAGCTATTTCTCATCTCTCCTTACCTGCCAGCTTCCTTAGAAGAATAAAGAGAAAGCAGTTGGGAGCAGAAGACAGTAAAATGAAACTCATGGGGAACCTGGCTGCAGTGCTGGAGCTGGGTCCCAGGAGGGCTCAGCGTGCCCAGAGTGGGGTGCACAGCCCCTCAAAGCACCTCAGCACAGAGCGGGGAGAGAGGAGCCAGCAAGAAGTGGCTGCAGAAACCTTTCAGACTTAGGTGAAGATGCTTCTGGAAATTGTGAAGGAAAGTCAAAGGACAGGATGATGCTCATGAGTGAAAGATGGAAAATATCTAAGTCTCCAGAGTAAGTGGAGAAGAAAAAGGCCACAGTGGAATATATAATCCTATATTCATTCATCTAGGAAGGATGAATAGCTGCTGTCATTGTAAGGACAAGGCAGCCCATGACAAAGTTTCCAGCTCAGCTCTGTTCCATTCCACATCTCCTCTGAACCAGCAGTGCTGTGTGCCTGCCAGTCCTCCCTGATTGTTCTGTCAGACTGATGCTGGAGGATCCTAAAAACCCAGAAACTGCATTAGCTCATGGTTGCCACAGCAGGACTTTGTAATGCTAGAGATAATTTTCCTTATAGCTTCATGCTGAATCTGCTCTAGAAGTGACCTCATGCACCTTCACTCTGCTATCCTGACACTTAAAAGGCACATTTGATTGCATCATCCCCCTTTGACAATCACACTTTATTTTTATATCTTTGCTACTACCCTGTCTGAATTCAGGGCCACTGCTTTGGAGAGTGAAATAACCCCTCACAGTAGGTTGACACTTGACTTGAGAGGCTCGAGCAGTGAAAAGTTTAAACTACAGTCACCATAACTATATAAACACCTGTTTGGCAAGAGGTTTCTTCTGTGAGTCATTGCAGGTGTAAAGATTTTATTACTCATGGTCACACCTGTTGCTGCATGTGTGCCAAAAATCAGGAATAGTTTGATGGAATAAGAAAAATAAGCATAAGGTACACTCTGCTATCAGAGCAATATAAATCCAAAGCAACTTCATTAAGCTCATCTAAATTATTTCAAACTGACATTACTAAAAAAAAAAGTGCAGAATTCAACACAGAACAATAAAATACCGTTCAAAATCTTACCTCATACAAAACTAATACTTTTTATAAATTTAAATACTTTAATGCCTATATATTGAATATATTACACATATAAATAAATGTGTGTGTGTGTGTGTATGCAATGTACACAGGGGATACAAGGAATTGTGTGGATGCCCTAACATACAGGGGTCAGGAACAAGTGCAGCTGGATTTAAATTGTGCTTTCATCCCCAGGACTTGCAAGGCTTAACCTCATCAGTTTTAAGAGGACTCACAAAATCCAGATGTTATTTCACACATATACACATGTAAAATAGCATAACTTACCCCCATAGATGCAGCTAAGCACAGAGATCAGCAGGTTTTTCTCACATTATGCATTGGTCTCACCCCCCAAGGAAATCCTGGCAACCCTACAAAGTACCTCTTAAGTTTTAATACCACCACTACATTCTTGAGGTAACAGCTATGACTGGGATAAAACTAAAGTTATTTAATTTATTTCTGCTGAAGCATCTCCACATGCATTAATTAGGGCTTAATCAGGCTAAAACCAAGATCCCTTTGAATTCCTGAATGATATAGGGGCACTATAACAGTGTAGCTGTGTATCATCCAGAACAGGAGCTCCAGAAGCAAAGTTACTGAGATGTAAAATTAGGAACAGCTCACCACAGGACTCATCTCCCATGGAGGGCCAACTGTCAAAGCAAACTGCATAGTAACAATCATTCCAGAGGTCTGCAAAACACACTGGAAATGTTTCTTCACTGTAAAAGGCCATGTACTTACGTTGGCTCTTCTGAGACTGTGATGGTCTCTTCCATTTCATGGGCCTGTTTAAACCATGGCAATTTTGCTTCCACAGGACTTTTTTCTGGTAGAGGACAAAGACTCAAAACATTCAGTAATTTCTCCAAAATCAAAGCAATATGTAGATGTCAGCATTAATCACCTCAGAATTTCACAGTTGAGATTGCTTATAGATCTAATGCTTTTTTAGATATACAGAATAATAACACAAAATTTACCAGAAAATTTCATCATGCTGTTTGAGCTCCATTCTTTGTTTTACATTTGCAAAAATGGAGAAGGAAAAAGGAAAATAGTTTGAGTAAAACTTAATGAGCTGCTGAGAATGTTGACACCAGGACAACACACTTAATTTAAAACAAACAAGAACATCCCAGGTGATACATACGGAGTTTCATTCCCATTTCAAGTATTATTGAACAACTCCTCCTCCCTGTGTTAAGCTCATTAATTCTGATTTTTGACCAGACTATATAGATTTAGTTGGCACGTTCATGACAGTCTGGCCACATTATCAGCAAAAAATATCAGCAGGGCACTTTTACTAGCACCAATAATTAAAGTGCTTGTTTCTGCCAAAACTGGGGAAAAAAAAAAAACCCAAACCTAGTAAATTCCAGCTTCTGGCATTTCTGAAAAAGGTTACCAGGGGCTTTTAATTCTCTGGACAAAAAACGCGAAACAACCACAGACCCAGAGAAAGCCGCAGTTACCTTTTGGCTTGTAGCAGGGCACTGGCACGATGCACTCCTCCTTGATGTGCAGCTTGAGCTGCGGGTTGCAGCCCCCGACGTGCTGCCCGCGGTGGTCGATGCACAGCACGACGCGGTAGCGCAGCCCCCGGCCGCAGGTCACCGTGCACTGGGGACACAGCAGAGCCCCTCAGCCTGCGGCTCCCACCGCCAGCACTGCCCAGCAGCATGGCACAAGCAGCACTGAGGGGCTCGCTGAAGGGTTCCCACAGAGATGTGAGAGTTTTGTCCCTGTGTTGCTAGGTGGATAGGGAAAAGGTTGATGCTGGGGAAAGAAGTCGAAGTTTTGGGAATGCAAGTGGTGTTTTGGGGTTCTGTGAGGCTTATCTGGTTGGCAGCAGGCTGAAATAGATAGAAGTGGCTGTGCACTGAGAATGCACTCTGTCACGGTGGTGATTTTCAGTCAAGGCTGGGTCAGGGGAGCTGCATTTTCTACGCTCTGGTGTCACTGATGTCATCTGGATGAACTAAGGAATTACAGGAGTGCTGGCCTATCTGACTGTATCAGATAACCACAGCCAGGACAAGCTGGCTTAGGCTATTGTTACTGTAGTGAAAGGTAAGAATGCTGGAAAATCACCCTTGCAGGCTTGCCAGCCCCTGAGACAGACATGCCTTTAACTATTACAGCCAGTGAAATACTACATTTATCAAGAACTGAGACATAAATGACCTGACTGCAAAGGGGCCTGACCTCTGTCTCTTAACTTCTGCATGCAAAGCAGGAATTCAACAGGCACAAGGAATTCCACATGCATTTTGCTCCACACAGACAGAACTGCTTAGAGCAAACTTTTCCCAGTAATATTGAGTATCTTTCAGGTCTATACTTTTCTAATAGTCCTGTGCTAATAAATACATGGTAACACAAGACCAGAGGCTTTCTTTAGAAAACAAGACAGAAGGTCCAAATTACTTCTCTACTTACTTGAGACCACTCCATTGCCACCCATTTTGGACAATCAAACAGATTGCAGGTCTGAATGACTTTGGGCTTTGGGGCATACATGCATTTCCATTCCTCCACTTGCAGTATCTCTCCATGGATGGTCTCCTCTACACACACAAAACTTCTCCTCTGAATACCACCTCCACAGGAAACTGAACATGCAGTCCACGGGTTATGTTCCCACCTGGAAAAAAATAAAACTCATAAGGCTCTTTCTTATTTCACTAACCTCTATTAAAAAAGCAAAATATTGAGTCAAACCTTAGTGTCAGTTAAAGCTTACTGGTAGCTTGGTTGCTGGATTCTTACCACATACAAATACATTGACTCTCAGACCTACCTTGAGTTATTCAAGGCTTAAGTTCATGTGCAAAATCAGAAGTAGAATTGCAAATGTAAGCATATTTCAAAACATAACTGAAACTCTTATTCTCACACATAAGTTAGAAACTGTGAATATACTGAGTTTGATTACTGGAACGAATTTATTTTCAAATAGTCTAAATCATCTAAATTGAATACTTTTGGCAACTAATTTGCATGATCACATAGACACTTATTACCATTGTCAGAGACCAAGAAGCCCCTGTATTTAAGATCCTATGAAGTCTGAAAGACAAAGACAAATCTAGATGCCCTTAAAAATGTTTTCCTGAAGGAATTTTTATGGGATTTCTTATACTTTGGGTCAAGCCAGCCATTTTATACCAAACTGCTTTCATCCATAAGGACTGTGATGAAATTAAATTGTGGCAGGTACCATTTGGCTGGTCATGACTGCAGTTCTGCAAGAGTTTCCCACCCTCATTAAAATGCCATTGAACAACCTTGCATTCACACTTTCCAGCTTGCTTCAAGAAAAAGGCAGCTGCTCATCCATCTCAGCTGCTTTGGCTAACTCAGCTGATGGCTCCTGCAGCAGGGAAATGCACAGATTAAGGAAAATTTGGGATTAAGAAAAGCTTGTGAGTCAGCAGAGCTCTGGGATAGTAGCTTCTAACAGAGATATGATAAACAATCTGCTGGGAAGAAATATCTTCAAAATGGACATCTATTCACAATCTTAACTACAATAAAGATGGAAAATGTTGCACCATCTGAAGTGAGAAGGACATGGAAGTTTTTAGGCAACAAACTCAGTTTCATTTACCTCTTAGCATGAATGCACATTTAAGCAATTATCTCTCAAAAAAACCTAACTTCAATAAAGTCCTGCTCCTCTCAAATTTAGACATAACAAGCTTCTATTGAAGTATTTGTCTGTAGGTTCCAATGACACCCATACAATATCTCCTCACCATTTACCTTCTATCTCTTCCTTTCTTTCCATCACCCTCCTGAATCAAAGCCCTTGGAAATGATTGAGTCCTGCAGTACATCTTAAGGTTCATCAATGTCTTGTTAGTTAAACCTTATCTCTGTTACTGCAGAGGCTCAGAAAGGACCATGAAAATAATTATATCTGTTCTGAACAATGAACTCAGCAAGGACTACAATATCCCACTAAAATCAATTAATCAAGAATAATCAACTTGGCTATCATAAGGGAAGTTATAATATCAAACTCGATGAAGCAAAGGCCAATAAATCAAAGGTAAATTTAAGCAATCTACTTTTTATGATGCAGCAAGTAAATCAAGGACACTTCCTATTTTAGGCAATTCATTAAGCTGCCTACAAAAATATATTAATCATGATTAAGCTCAACAGAAGAATGAATATGAAACACAGAGCAAGCCATGGGACATCAGCCATGGAGTACACTCAAAAGCATTCTGAATAAAGCTATGTGCTGAGATACTGATGTCAAATCACAATAACAAAATGCATTTGAAGAGCAAGAGTTACACTCTTCTTTGACTTAAAGGAATGGCCACTGTTAACTAATTTTCTTTTTAAAAATCTGGAACTAAAGAGCAATTAACTATTTAATGAATTAGCAGCTCATGGATTTATATATGTAAGGCTCACTGTGCTGTATGTAATATAAGGCTTGCAAGTGTTTATAGCGTGAAGTTTTATAGTTGTTTTTCTTTATCTCATCAGTTTCAAACACACTCCAGATCCCATACTCCCACAAGAATTTTCAAGATGGAGTGAGGTCCATGGCTACTGGGGAAAAGGGGGGTCTTGGGCAAGCAGTCAAGGAGATACTTTCCAGAACCCACAGCTGTCAAGGGATCCTCAACAGTCCAACAAGTCTGAAATAAATGGAGGCAGTCCAAAAGCTTTAAAACAAAATTTTCATCCTGGGAAATTTTTCTATTTATTTCAAAAGAATTCTCCATCTGTAAAAATATTTCAGTGGGGCATTTACAACTGTAGCCACAGGAGAACCCTTTCAAGATCTTGTGGTGCGCACCACGACTTTCCCACAACTTCCTCGTGCGAATGGGAAAGCAGTGGTGCACTCCACAGGACTGCCAGGCAGCCTCCACATGGCCCTGGTGCTATGGAGGAGGTGAGATGAAGGGCTGCTGCTGGAGGTGAAGCAGTCTGCACAGCTTTGCTCCAGGCTGCATCCAGGACTTTGGTTTTCCACCCACTTCTCAGGAGCAGCCTGGGTCAGCATGCAAGAAACAGGTAAGAGAAGAGAAGAGAAGAGAAGAAAGCAGAGCCAGCACAGGGTAACGCATTCCAGCTCCTTGCAGGCAGCAGCACAGACAAATCCTGCTGCACTGAAGCAAGACTTGCATCCACACTGGACCAGAGTCACCTCCTCATGCAGGTAAACAAACTTTGAGCTGCTGTTTTCTTTCAGCAACTCCTTCAAGAGAAGGTGTTTCTATGTCTTTGTGGTGTTTCCTTACAAGCCCTCCCAGTACAATACAGCCCATTTCCTCTCTCCTTCCTGCTGGCACCAGCTCTGAGCCCGGCTTGGCTGCCTGCTGTTTTACAGTCCTTCCTCTGAAGCATCACCCAGGAAGACCATGATGCTTTCTGACAGAGCACACCGAGGTGCTGAAATGAGGTGGGACTCTGCCTGTGGTTCTTAGTGTTTGAAATAAGAGATCCTGCCCACAGCTTTATCACAGACATAATCTATCTCACCACAGTGTCATGCAAACGTGCTGAGCACAGTAAAGCACAGAAAGGGGGATTAAATTTCTCTTCCAAGTGGTCTCCAAGCCCTAAGTGGTTCAGAAGAAGAAATACTCCTGTAAATACATTAAACTGAGTTCCAGGAGAGATCTGAAGTACAAAGGCATTGGCAGAAGAAATGGAAAGGGAGAGACACAGAATATAATTAGAGGACTCTACAGGATAAAGCTATAAAGGAAAAAATCCCCATCTATGCCAAAGTAGATGCACAGGACAGCAGATGCACAAGGACAAATTGCTACAGAAATAAACTATGACATTTGTATCAGCTGTAATCAGTAGCTCCACTAAGCTGTGCAAGTCTATGATTTCATTCTTATTACTTCATATCTTTACTTCTTTAGAAAAATACACATTATTCATTACATGACATAATAAAGCAGAGGTTCAACTCACATAAATAAGCAACCAACTCATCGACTATAATTCTTTACATTAAAAGCAAATGTGACTCAATACTGTTTAATCCTAACATTCTTTCTAAAACATCTAAGGGTTCCTGAGAAGTTTTAAATCCTTGTAATTGATTCAGGTGTTAAAAAGGAAAAAAAAAAGTAACAAACTGATCTCTGATGCCCTAATTTAAGGAAACAGATATTTCAACAATTTTGTATTTTGAAAGTGACGTGTCATCTTTGATGTCAATAAATAGTCTGTAGACTGCGGATCTAAAGAGGAGAAGGATCAGATCTCCCAAGAGAAAAAGAATTTCCAGAATACTATACATAACAAGGTCTGTTTTATAAAAATCTCATACACTGTCAAAAGAAAAACCTTTCAAGACAAGAATTCATACACGCAGTTTAAAGATGATGATCTTCTCAGCACTACAGCCAGAGAAGGCTGAGGGGGACAACTGTTTATTTTAAAGACTTCACATTGGTATTTTCAAGAAGAGCATATTAACCTCTGACTGTTAAGCTAATCATCCAGAGCACACTAAAATAAATCACAAGATTCAGAGATGTTTACAGGACTCTTGTAAACTTACCCTCCTGTATAAAAAACCCTCAAAATATGTCCCATTATCTTAGCACTGAAGCAGTATATTTGCAGTGAAATTGTGCTAAAGCTGACACACATGCTATCCTGGTTATACATACCGAGGAAGTGGCTGGAAGTGATCATAGGGCATGATTTCTTTAAATCCATCACTGTCAAAAAAAATAAATATTGCATCATTACTTCTCATACCCAAGACTGTACATCAAGTACATACTTTTATGTGATCATGCTTGAAGTAAGCAATTCCCAATGTGAAATGCAGGAATCTTACTTCATTACACATGAGCCTTATGACTTGTATAATCTTACCTTTTCTGCATGGATAAAGAACTATTCACCATACAGCTTCTCTATTTCATACCACCATAAAATATTAAATTAGCAAGCCTCCAGCAGAAAAATTTATTATCAGTTACCCTTTAGGTCTGTGTTACTTCATTAACAGAAAAATATTCACATACTTCTATCTGTAACAAAGACTGCTGAGGGACATGAGTGTCAGTGAAATAAATACATCAGAAGATTAATCCTAGATAGGTTCTGAATGCTGCTTAGGAGTCTTCTAGAGCTGTTTGAAGTACTTAGCACAGAGCAGGCATAAAGCTTTACTTCCAATGCTAGGAAATATGGTAATATATCCAGTAGTACTTTCCTTTTCCTGACTGTATAAGCTAAATTTGCAAGGTAAAATATAATTACACCCTTTCTTTTCCCTAATTTTCCTATTCCAGCTTTGGAACATTTGGCACCCATTGCCATCAAGTATTACTGAACTCTTTCTGCTTCATACAGTGATCAACTCTCCAGGAAAAACTCTTGAAAGTCTGCACATCTATAACTGTTAGAGGTCATTATCAACGATTATGTTCAACAGGAATGAAAGGAAATGGACAGTTTAGCTATAGGAAATTAAATCCATTGAGAGTGTTTCCTTTTCTTGCATATAACTCTAGCTCAGCCAGCTGGCATATTAATGTGAGGTTCTGGGACTTGATACTGTGATGTTATTTTAAGATTCTTTAGCACAGCCAGGAAACCTCACCAGACAATCCAAAAGTTAGTTTGAAATACTGTAGTGCAATTCAATACAATTTATTTGTACTGTAGCCTTTACAATTTGGCACTAATATCCTGTGGCATTCGTACCAAAGGATATTTACTTGGAATGATTTTATTTTTAATGCCTAGTTTTAAAAAACCCAAACAAATAGACCCAAGCTTCAATTATTAAATTGTCAACACTACAGTACCAACGAAGAATCAAACTTTTATGGTAGGCAAATGAATAAACCAAGTTAAACCATATGCAAAACTTGCACTGACTGGAGCTTCTGTCTGGCTGTTGAGATGTTCTGAATGGCAGCATCAATAAATCCAAAAGGAGGCAAACCTTCTGTCCTCCTCACACAGCCTCACAAGATCCTCACACTTCTGCTGTACTTCTCAGCAATAGACAAAGCAGAATTAGCCCTTTAGTAAACTGATATTTACAATATCTCTGTATAAGCAAAATCCTCTATTCTGCAACACTGAAGAAGTGCCACACATCTACTGGCAGAGATATCAGCCTTTGACACATGCAATAACCAACCAAGATTAAGTTGTCTTAAAGATAAAAAGAATTGAAATTCAGTAAATACAATTCCTGCTTCCTTAGTAACTGCCTGTGTCACACACAAATTTGTTTGCCATACAGACCTGGAAGGGCAGGGATCCATGTTGCATTCCTTCAGCTTGGGCTTTGGTTTCTTGTTTTCTGGATGATAATGGCAGTAGTGGTCAGGAACAACGCGCTTCAGACGAATGTCCACGCACTCAGCTGAATTGAGCTGGTAACCTAGGGCAGGAGCAAAGTTAAATATTGTTAATGGAGATAAAGTAAAACAGCCTTTTCTCCCCATGGAATTAATTTTCTGTCTTACTCTTTTTTGGTTTACTTTTAAACAAGGAAACAGGAAATGCACAACCAGACCTTCCTTTTAGGCAATTCAGCACAGCAGTTATATTAACCTAAATATCTTGACACTAAATGAGCTTCCAGCTCTTTATTCTACTAATATTCTAAGAGTAGAGGCACATATATTTCCTTCTGATGCAGAAATACTTGTACTGCACCAGCTCACCTGTCAGAAAGCAAAACTATGAAGCCATATGGCTCTAGCACATGTTCCACAATGTATAACTGCCCTCCTCCAAGGAGGAGTTACCAGTATGTTGGAGAGCTATATTAAACAGCCATTCATGCTAAAAGAAATAAATACTTGAGAGAGAAAGCCAGAGGAATTGAAGATGGGATCCAAAAACATTGCTAAGGAACTGTAGAAAACCAAGAAATAGATTCAAGAACATTCCGAGTTGAAGAGCCAACAAAAGAAGACTTGAACTAACTACTCAGTGAAAAAAAAATAATAAAATATGTGTGGAGACTGGTTGCAAGAAAGGATCTGGGTTTTATAAACCACTAGGTTATTTTTTGGCTTAGAAAAAAAGACTCATTCAAAAAAGCTTACTTGGACTTAAACTGAGGAGAGGAGGATGTTCTGGTATGTGCAAAGAAAAAAAGTTTTAGACCACAAGAATTAAAATCAAACTGAGTCAACAAACCAACAGCACAAGTCCCTGTGCCTACTGAAAATGCTAAGTATCATGTGTCAGTGGCTTCAGTTGTGTGTCTCTTGGCTGATCCAAAGTGTCATCATGCATGAGAGTGACAACCATAAAGAACTAAGCAGTTCCAGTGCTCACAGCATCTATGTTTCAATTCTTGCAAGTACTGAAAGGACCCAGAAGAAATGTCACTTGCAAACAAGAGAAACAGTTTTTAAACACTCTTGCTCATTCAAGCTTGACTCTGCTTTATGAGATGCCCCTTCCAACACATGGAAATTACAGAATTAAAGATAGAGGCAGCATCCAAGTGAGGAATGGCAATGCACTAATTCCAAATCTCTGTTGTGAGGAACCTTTTCTTTTACTGCCAGTACCAGATGCCAAACAGACAATCTGGACACTAAGTCCAGATAAATCTAAGATAACAGGTTAAAGCCAAGCAGCTGCACTACAACTTCTCTGCATGCCATTCTTAACACTACTACTGTCATGACTGAGCAGCTCAGTTTTTGTGCTTCTTCAGTTCCTGTTCTCCCTGCCAAGCCCCTCTGACAAAGGTACCAGTTTTATATTAGAGGCAAGCAGCCACAAAGCAGGGCTTTGAACACCCTGGATGGTTTCAAAGAGATTGACATGCAGCTATAATTTTCAAGCCATAACAGCAGTCTGAATAAGGCTGGATTTGAGCCAATACCTTTGAAGGTAAATATGTCCCTTGGGCTATCCAGTGTTTACATGCAGTCCTCAAAAGTAACTGTGATGCTTTATACTTCTTCCCTTGTCAGACAAGTTAAGGAAAAAAAATTATAAACACAGTGTGATGGAATCATCAGAGGATATGCATTGCCACTCAGAGCTCCAGCAAGGATCACACTTCATGAGGCCAAGTATCTCATAAGATACAGTAGTTTCCTGTGGGACTGCATATCAGACACATACACTGTCTGCATTTCAGATCACAGGGAGGTGCAAATGCCAAAATGGATGGTCCTTCAAAAGATCCCCAGACTCTGCTTGTACTTTAAACATCTCTCACTCTCTTTATTCATGCCCCAAGCAACTATTTAAACCACATTTGCACTCTCCAGAAAATCCCTGTATCGGTATCACCAGCATCCTGCTCTGTTTTCCAGGTGACCTGGGAAATGCTGGCTGAAGGGAAGCTGCTATCTGCAGTGTCAAACACTCCTCCTACCATGAGCTCACACTTTTTTTGCAGAACCAGACATGACAGGCAGTGGGCTGGGCTGGATAAGCAGAATGAAGCTACACTTCATCTAAGCTGCAGTGTTTAAATCAGGAGTAGATGCTACAATACCACATGTGCTGCTCTAGCCACCATCAGGACTGTCTAAAATCAGACAGCCAAAGATACTGATAGCAGATGTTCTTTAAATTCTATTTACCTATTCTGCTTTCTGTATAACTAATTCCTCAACTAAATGTTCTAAAACTCACCCTCTTGTATACTATTGAGGCTAGAAATACTTTTTCACCTCTTGATTATTCTTATTTTAAAATCTCATCATGTTTCTTTGCTTACTTTCCCCAAATATCCACTATGAGCTGCAATTTTCCATTTTGAATGTTGTATTTTTTATTCTTAGTCAATGTTCTTACTCAAAACATCACTCATGGAAAAACATGACTTCCAGTGACAACATGTAAAAACCTCTGTGCTGATACCAGCTTAACCAACCTGCTTAGCTGCTGCTCTGTCATTTATTTTGCTGAGGAATTACCAGTGGGCAGAGAAACACAAACATCTAATCACTAAAAATGCAGAACAAAGGTTGTAAATCAGGTCCTTTTAATCTTGAGCTGTTATCACTGCTGAAGAATTGACATTACTTACCTCCTCCACACGTCACTGTGCAGGGGAAGAACTCTGTCTGTCTCCACTGGTGACTGATGGGCTGATAGAAGAAGAACTGAACCACGCTCTCTTTTGATCCAGAGTACCTGGTCTGAAGAAATTTCCATTACAACACACATGTACACTGTACTCAGCTGCTCATGCCATTTCAAAACAGAGTTCATGCATAATAGCAGTGCAGAGTAAGATGATGAGAGACATAAAACCTCTAGAAAGTATAGAGTAGCCATTAAATTTAGGTTCCCAATAGTCAAACATTTGAATGTGTTTTATTTTTCAAATTATTCAAGGTATTAATGTGACCATTTGATTATCTATCCTCAAATAGTAAAGTTCTTAACTGTATTCTGTTGGTTTATGTCTTTGTTAGCAAAAATTTCAAAATTTGCTGCAGAAAGAAATCTAAAAGTGATCCAAGCACACTGTCAGGCAAGTCCAGGTGCACATGGTACTGGAGATGCAAAAGGAAAACAACTGAAATTCTGTTTCTTCAATGTGACAGGTAAAGCCAGGCAGTCTGATAATACTGAAACTTCTGTCACTTCCAATGCCAAAGCGTCTGAGTGCCTTCCTGTGGCAGTCAAATACTGATATGTTCCTACTTATAAATATCTTGATGTGTGATGCAAGCCACTGGTATGTGTTCTGGACAGAAAAAATTTAAAATGATTGGAAATGGTCAGTGGCTGGATTAGCACTGTCTGAGGGAGAATGTAGGGTGCTGCTGGAAGCAGTGCTCAGGTTCAGTAGGTGGCAGTCTGCAATTGGATTAGCACTGCTCAGGGTCACACTGCTACTCTTCCAGCAGTATTGAAAACAAAAGTCCTGGCCATTTTTACCATTAAAGATCCTGTGGTACTTCCCACCACAGGAAATACATAAATCACATAACATTTTAATTTATTTGGATTTTCTTGGCATAAATGATCTCTGGACTGTAATTAGGATTTCTATCTTGCTAGCTAAAAGATTTTGTTGTGTTGCTACAAGGTGATGGACAGCCACCAGAGTGTTGCATGTACTTGCAATAACTTTGTAGATTTGTACATTCACACACCCCACCTTGATAATGAAATCTGCTCCAAGAGGCCCCTGGATCTTTATGATTTCCCTGTCTGTGCTCTTCTGAAATTCAACAGTTGTATTTTCAATGACAAATGTTCCAGGAGCATTGAAACTGTGCTCTCCCTTTTCTCCTTGTAGTGTTTTTGACTCTATAACTAAAGAAGAAACGTGCAATTAGTAAACTTAAACAGGTTTTTGTTTTCAAGAAAGTCAGAAAGCAATGTTTACAACTTTTCCTTGCAAGTACCAGCTGCACATGTGCAGTAAAAACACACCCAGAGAACCTGTGAGAATATTAACTGCTTGAGATTATAGGCTGATAGATAATTGCAAGACAAGTCAACACAGGAATATCTGTCTGAGCACACTATTCTTTCATACCAGAAACACTTCTGAGACAGTTTTTCCTACACCAAGTGCTCTGTAACACTTGATATAAGCAAAAGCTTGAGCAGGAAAAGTTGAAAGAAACTGAAAATTGATAGAATCAATATAGAGAATAATACCTCATACTTTCATGCAATTCAAAAGCCAAGCAATCTGAGCAATCAGTCTCCAGAGAAGCCTGAGTGGTGCCAAACCCACCTGACATTCACCTCAATACCTGAATCACTGCACCAAGATCCTGAACTCAGCTTTGAGTGTTTCCCAAGAGAGGAGAAAGCAGGGCCAGGAGGTGGGCAGCTGCAGGGGACAGCCCTTTCCCAGAACAGCTGGTGATGAAAACCCTTTCTGAATTGTTCTCTGCTCCTTGGAAACAGATTAAACTAACAGCCCACAGCCTCCAGAAGACAGATGAAGCATTTTAAGATTAAATCACTTCCAGTAAACTGACTGAACTGTAAGTGGCCAAAGCTAAAGGAAGATATTCATAAGGAAGGTAGAATTCTGGGCTCAGTGTAATACAGCATAGAGGCACAGCAAGATGTATGACTTGAAATACCCTGGTCTGGTTACAATCTACCAGAGCACTGCATGAGAAAAGCATGAATCTCAGATGAGCTCAGGCCAAGCTAAAAGGAATCTTTTGATGAGCTATAAATACCCTCTTTCTCCCACTACCTTGCCTTTTTTGGTACTTTAAACAAAGCTACCTAAGTCAGGCTAGATCATTTAGGTTAAAAGCATCTGGTTTTACCTGCACTGAAAACATACTCTGAATGCTGCAATCCATCATTAACTGTTTTCTTCCTTCATATTTTTTAAACAAATATGCATTCTTGAGCACCCAAACAAAGAGAATAAAGAAATTACAGAATGAATTAAATTCCTGAAAGCATACCACCACTATCCCAAGCTTCTAAGCATTAGGTTCCACTGTGCTCATAGGTATAACAAAGATCACATACATGGCTGGAAGGAAGTTTCAGGAAGGATTTGTTTCTAGGAAATGACTTTATGTTAATCACAGGGTATGAATCTAGTGGTGAATAAAATGTACTTTGTCAAAGAGAAAACATAAATCTCTGGGAATCAGTGTGCCTCACTGTCCAACACATTCCATTAGGAACAAATAGATATAAACTAATTCCAGAAAAAAGAAGTATTTAGGTGATTACTACATATTTCTGTTTGTCATTTTTATGGAAGGGTCCTTTCCTGATTGCCTTACAAAATAACCCTTTAAAATATATGGAACTCAGAATTCTTGGATTAAGCTTCTGCAAGCCTTGATCCCAAACTTCATGCTTAAATCACAAACTGCTTGATCACAAATGCTTAAAATTAAGTAAAAATTCATGGTGCCTGTTATTGTCTCATTTTTTAAAATAAGTGTAAAATCAAATCTTAAGTACTTCCAACTCAAAATAAATTCAGGAAGATGCTCAGGAGTACAGGATCCTTTTGAAACTAGCATTTAAGACATTACAATCCAGCTGGTGCAAAAAGATGATGAAAATGTTTATCTGGTGACCTCAGCTGCATTTCTGAATGGTTCTTTTACAATTTTTTTAAATAAAAAACATTATCGATGTTTTTCTAAGCAGAAACCAAGATTATTGTTCAGCAACCAACAAGACAGTAACTCCCAGAGAGCTGGCATGTTTACACTAGATGTGGATGCAAGTAATGTGTTTATTTGCAAGGTGCAGCTATGGAGCCAGGGCTGTGTCTCTGGAGGTCACACCACTGACCCCAGAACTGCTGCTCAGATTTTTCCTGTGTCACACAGGGAGATGAGGAGCTATTCCCCAGCACAATGGATAACCTCTGGTGCAATGCATTCCTGCTCAGTAGTACCCAGTGCTTGTCATCACAGCCTTCCAAAACAGAGTGACACCAAGCATTTAGTGTATTTAACATATACATAACATCATTATTCTTACTGGGGAGGAATTTCTTCCTCAAATACTGCTTATTTATTGATTTCAGAGAAGTAACTGAGAACACAGGTTTTATCAACTGGTTTCATGACAGGAAAAGAATTCACCAAATGTTTTTGTTCTGCAGAGTCCTGTTATACTAAAGACTTGGAAAGTTTGACTTCAGGAGTAAGCTTCCCTAAATCAATTCCTACATCAATTCCTTGAGACTCCAGATGTGAAGAGTCACACGGACAGGGAGTTCTCTTGGCTGCTCACCTGTTTCTGTGCCTGGCATGACAATCACCATTGCCAAAGACCTGTAACTCTCTGTGTTTAGTTCCTTTCCCTCCCTTGACAAAAATGGCAAATGCCTTGCCCAGCTGTGGGCAGAATCCCCCATTCTCTTGGGGGCAGGAAGGAGCAGGGCAGGGAGGCACAGGAGACCCTCTACAGGTACCTCCCTGTGCATGAAGGAGCTCCCAGGGAAACTGCTCCTGCTCCCAGTGCAATAAAGAGCAAGGATGGTGCTGCCCAAAAGCTGCTTCTTCTCTGTGATTCATTTGTAGGTGGCATAAAACCAAAACATTCTTCTCAAAATGCAAGCAAAAGCAACACCGTGCTCCTCTGAGCATCTGTCAAAGACAGAGCAGTGCACAAACCCTTGCTAAGGGCTGTCACATGATGCAGATCTCTGTGAGCAGAGAAAAAATTGACAAAAAGAAAAACATTGCAGTTCCTTTCAGTAACGTTTAACCTCCCTAAGTTCACGAACTCAGTTATCTAGCATTAGCCACTTGTAAAAATATTAGCTTCTGGTTTTCCTGTTTCTTCTGCTGGAGGATTAATTTCAGGGAACTTTCAGTCTTACTTTTGATTCTAATGCTCTTAAAACAACTAGTAGAAAAGCCATGATACAGTCCAAATCAAAAACAAAGCCAACACAATGAAACATTTTATTCAGACCCATTTTTGTGCTAATTACTTGGTTATTTTCCACCAAATCTTTCACCAAACCCTAGCAGGCAGAAATACAGGGGGGCCATATTTGTTAAAAACACAAAGTAACATCTTGATGAATCTGCTGCCTGTCTTTAAGTGCCCAGAGACACAAACAAAGCACTTATTCTAACCAGCTACAAAGAAAAGCAGTCCTTGCTCAAACACCAACTGCAGGTTGCAAAACAATGCTCAGAGCATTTGTTTCAAATCTGTTATGTGCTACATCTCCAACCACATTTCCATTTTTGATTAGTCCAGCAGCTGTGCTTTCCTGGAACAAGACCAGATCATAAACCCAGGATGAAGCCCCACTGAACACAAGATAAAGGGAAAAGTGCCAGACACTCCATAGTGCTCTTCAAGTTTTTGCTATTGCTGCTGACTCTACTTGAAGGACAAATATATACTGGCAACAGGAGGCAGTATAAAATTTTAACAATAAGTAGTCCCTGCTTCACCTGTTAAATTCAACTCATTGCAAGCCAGGAAAAACATCTCTGACAAATGGAACCTGTAATAGTAGATGATTTTTTTTTTTTTTTAATTCTGGCTTTAATTCTACCAGCACACCCACACAAAAGTTGATGCAGTTGCAGCAAAGGATCATTTGGTATCTTCTGTTAAGCAACAAACACCCAGGAACACGCACAGTGGGAAGGTGGAGAAGCACCTCTGGAGCATCAGCTCTTGGAGACCTGGCTATGAAGCCAGAAGTAATTTTCACCTCCCTCCCCACAACAGCTCTCAGTTGGTTTTTACCTCTGAAATTTTAATTTTAGGTAAAAAATGTCTAAATCCTTGCAGATTTGCAAACACATGTGCTGGTGGAAGTGGTTAAAGGAACATTTCACAATTCCTGTCCAGCTAGAGAGTGAACTAACAAAGGTGATGCCAAGCCACAGCTTCTTTGCAGAACCACCCTGGGTAGGAAGCCAGGAGCACTCTGTACTCAGTTACTGAGTTGCTGCTGCATTCCTCAGGAGCTTTCCAGAAATCCCCCAAGAGCCACTCAATCTAGTACTTTTTCCTCATACAAAGCTGAAACAACAACTTCCTTCTGCAGAACTACTTAAGAAAGTCCAAGAGTCCTGACCTGAACTGGTCAGGATCACTCCTTCACACATCCCCTCAACAGTTTTAAAGGAATATTATTTATTTCAATATAAATTCAGCTTTGTACTTTTTTAATATAAGTAGTATATCTAGAAGTTATTGTCACTCTGGAGCTGTTCTGAAGAGGGAATTTTATTTCAGTTTTTTTCCTTGAAAGGATGTGACAATATATTTTTGAAAGCAAACAAACTGATGAGCAATTTTCAAGTAAAATGTATTTTTTACTTCTGTTTACATATTTCAGAGCTCAAGTTCTTTTTATTTCTACAATCCAGACCACATCTGGATAAAAAATTGTTCAAAGTTAAATGAATAGTTTATCTCATTGCTTGGTATTCCCTTACCATTGAATTGAAACCATCAATTCTCTAGGCAAACTAGGCCTATGGATAAGGAAATTGCCATAAATACTGCCATCAGCCTTATAAGAAAATATTGGAAATCAACTGTCTTACAGAATAACAAACTGTTTCTCACTGGTGGTACGCAATGACAAAAAGAATTACATGGAAGCAGGACTGCTGTACTCGTTCGCCCAACTTTATTTGGACCTAGATCACTTGTCAGAGGCTTCAGCAGAAATCTGGTGCTGAGTTATGCAAGGGATGTTGGTTCCACACATAACCCTCTGGAAGTTTTTTTGGTGTGTTGTTTAAGAGTGTACTGTATTTGAGATGCCTTATGTTGGTTTAAATGGAAGGAATAGAAACCACCTCTATGTATTTTATTTCCTTTTACCAAGTAAACTTTCCAGTGTTCTCTAGGACTATCTCCAGGCTGGATATTAAAGATGGGAAGAGAAATCAAGGTATCAAGGTCATGATCTTACCCATATTTTCCAAAGTTTGGACGAGCTCAGATACAAGGTTCTGTTTTTATCTTCTGCCTATGTATAAATACATAAAACAGCTCAGTCATACCAAGGTGTGCTGGTCCTTTCAGGGTGATTCTCACACTGCGACTCCCATGTGGTACAGCAATCACAGTTTCTTCCCCTACAAACATTAAAGAACTGGTTTAGAAATTATCTCTCATCAGGGAATTTGTACAGCACATACTTAGACTGAAAACCCTCAAATGTGTCTAAGAAAATATTTCACAGCTTTCACAACTTTTCTATTAAAAATAATATGTTATTTTATTAAGTACAGTGTACTGAGTCTGTTTGATATGTCATGCAACTATTAAGACCTACAAATGGACTTGTAAATCTTGGTTTCTCTTGGAAAATGATTTGCTATTAACAATAACAACTGAAATGTCAGTAGTGTATTAGGAACATATTTACACTCTGTTGTCCTAGTTTTATTTTCTAATCACTGAATTGACATAAGGAATCTGCTAAGTAGTCCTTCCCCCTTACAAAAATCTGCAGCTGTTCAGTCTCATTTTGCCCACACCTCATTTCCTGCTGCAGGTCACAACTTTAATAAGTGGCAGGACTTACAGGAAATAAATCATCTACTTAACACTAACCCTTAACCAATTACAGACCAGTTAAGAGCAAATATATAATAGCTATAAGGTGTATGTTATAGCAGTGTCTGCATCTAACTTACCCTATAAGATCATTTCTTCCAGTAAGAGGCTCAATTTAAAATGAACTATAAACCAAACCAGCCCCCAACAGGACATATCAATACAAAACAGCTTTTGGCTGCCTGAAAGGCCTCTTCATATATAAATGTGCAACACACTTACTTCAGTGCATTTTACAAAGGCAGAAAGTTATTACTTCTCATTTCAAATGTAGGAAATCTGTGATTTGCCCAAGCAAACCGAGTTACCAGTCAAACCAACAGGCTAGAGACCCTCATGCCAACAAAAGCAGTGCTCTCAGAAAAGGGCATCCACAGGGATATCCACAAAAGGAAGAGAGAAGCATCCAAGGAGCTGTCACCCATTTCCACCATGGCCCAACTGCATCTCTTCTGCAAGGCAGGCCCTGCCTCACATGCTCTCTGCAGCTGCACCCTGCACAAGATGCTCTGCTTGGTGATGAAACTAATGCACATTCAGTGGCTGCTGCAGAGGAAGTTCCTTTTTGCAGATTCAGAATGAAATGTGTGTTGAAAGTCAGTGATACACCGGCTCCAGAATTACCCATAAAATATTTAGAGGAAGAATAGTTGAGTTTAGTTTTGACTAAAAAAATAGTTTAAAAAGGTTTCTTTCCACTTCAAACTGGACCCCTTTATAGTAGATGCTAAATTATCAGCTTCTGGTTTACATCTCCTTAGCATAAGTATGATTTCCTGCCAAATGTTCAGAATACTTCAAGCAAATACTGCAATTATTTTTTCTGAAATAAACACCTTCTTATGTTACAGTTTTTATATCGTCAATTTCTAGGAAGGACATTTAAATATAACAATTTATTTTGGATGTAATAAAATATGAGCTTTATTAATTTCATTCTTGTGTATTCCACCAGAGTGAAAAATACTACAGTAAAACAATAATACAACTAAGGAGTCCTGGAAAAAACATTAACTACTGAACCACTTAATATCTCTTTGCATCTTGGTTTTTCATCAGAGGAATGGCTAAAGATAGCCAGGAGGTAGTGGGTGTGTATATCTTTAAAGTAAGGAAATAACTACTGAATTCACATGTGCTGGACAGTATTTGAGAGAAAGCAGGTTTGAGGGGCCCATCTGTGCTTACTTGGTTGGGAATTGAATCCCATCTTGATAACAATCAAGGTCAGTCACAGCACAAAACCTCCAGCAAAGGTCAGATGATGACCAGTTCAGAATGCATGACCTGCTGCTCTGAAGTGGAACCGAGGGCAGCCCGTGCTGCAGGGACACGGGCTGGCTTTGCAGATGTGCACAGATGTGCAGCACTGCTCCTCTGCAGAACAACAGGGTCGATCTGCCGAGCTTCCTGCGCCTCCCCACAGGCAGCTCCGCTGGCCCCGGCAGACCCTGCAGATCCCTTTCCAGGATGCCTCACATTCCTTTAGCAGTACTACAGACATTCCACCCTCACCCAAGCACTCTCTGATATGGTCCAAAAGTCCCATGGGGGTGCTAAATTTGGTGTTTCTCTGCAGCAGAGACAATATTAGCAGAAAGTGTTTTATTTGCATTAGGGATGACTGAGCTCACCGCCGCAGCAGCAGGCAGCCTCTGCAGCCCACAGACCTGTCAAGAAGTCTGACAGCAGGAGATTTTTGTAACCTGACTGAGATAACCATGACCTAGGGCAGTCTTTCCTTGAGGTGAAGTAAATTACAGGAAAAAATAAATGTGAGATTTTTTTGACTTCTGAACAGAGATGAGGGTTTGGAAGAAATGGGACAGAACTGACCATAAGGGTCAGTTCTTTGTCCTAAGGACATCTTTGAAACAATAGTTAAGGTTGTCCAGGTCTGGCTCCTAAAAAATTATATATTCCAAAGGTCTCTGGTTCTCAGTTGAATGTAATTCATATTCTTAAAGAAACACAAGGCTCTGTAAACCCATTTAAAATGGTTATGCTGTACATTTCCCATTAAACCAGTAGGGTCCACACTGCTAAAAGCAGTGAACTCTTACAAAAACATAAGGGGAAATTGCTACCCTGAAATCCATACCGAGAATTTTTGATTAAATTTTTTTCCCCCTTACAGTATTTCTTTGAAAGTTAATTGCTGACCTTTGTCTACAGATGAAAACAAATTAGCCCAAATCATCTGGAACATGCAGAAACACCAGACTCTAACATATGAGGTCAGATTAAGGCTCACCTTAAAAACTGAGAAGCAGGTGAGAGATATTGTCTCTCTATTCTAACACTGCTTTCAGGACAGGGATTCCCAGCAGCACGTGGAGTCATCTCCCTCCACTCTCACCCAGAGAATCTCTCAGCAAATGTGTGCACACAGCGCAGCACTTGCTGATTAAGCTCCCGGATTACTTTTACTTTAGATGTCAAGGTTTGATCCTGTTTCTATGGTGTTAATGTGGATTTAGATTTTGGATCTCAATGAGAGCAAGATCAGACTCCCTGCTATGGTAAGACTGGGAGCTAATCCCCAGGATCAAAATAAAGGAGCCACATTCCTAAACTCAATCCAATTCAGCAGGTTTTATTTATTTTTCCATGTGGGCCATGGTGGACCCATTTACTGTTTCACATATGGGCCAGTTGGGATTTTTCCCTCTCTCCTCTTATAGCAGGCCAGAGGTTTATTTCAGGTCTATAAAATGTGTTTCTTTCTATATATTTGCTCAGAACTTATTTGCTGGCTCCCTGGTTCTGATCGAAGCCCTTTGTGCTCTCAAAATACAAACAGTAATCCAGGAACAACTACAGCACACAGGAACTAAAAATCTCAAAATATTTGGAACCTTATTGCAGTGGCTTCCCTCATCCACTCTGGCATCAGGCATAATTCCAGAAGGCATTTCTGCTGGGCTTTGTGCTGACCTGCCTAATGAAAGCAAACCCAAATACATGCACTGGAGAAAACATAAAAGACATGCAGCAAAAAGCCCCTCAAGAGAATGGATCTTAAGGAAATGCAGTACAAAATGAGTAATGAAATAGCCAATGTTCTTACTGAGAAATTTCTTCAAGACAAAAGGGACCATGAAAGTACAGAAGGAGGCTTCATACTATCTGTAACAGCCCCAAGTAAACCAATCAAAGTCAAGGGATGTCCAGACTGAACCAGTTGGTGCTGAAGACCCAGAATCCATACTGCAAAACTGCAGGTGCCTCGTTGGGACTAATTCTAGTCTGATTCCATGGACTAGATATCCTATAGCTGCTGGAGAGCATCAGGTGCTTTTCTGGGACACATCTTCTGGTTTAGCTTCATCCAGAAAATTCCAATTTACCCTCTCCAAGACCACTCTGTGATGTGAACTGATGAACAGTATGTTAGGGCCATGGCGAAATTTGCTTCAAAAAATGTGCTCCTTATCCATACTGAACACTAATGCATTGGCATCCTATCCCTCCCCACACAGAGTTTTTCTGCCAGACTAGTCCCAATTCCCTCTTCTGGCTCTACAGATAGTTGATTTTTCCCCTTCCTCTCCAAGTGTTTTTGACTCCATCTCCCACCCAGATTCCTTATCTAATCTCAGCCTTCTCTTCCTCTTTCCTTGACTCAGTGTGTCTGTACAGCCAGTCCTACAACCTCCACCCACCTTCTCACATCTGCCTTTCCTTCACTGCATGAACTGATGGCAAATTTTCCTGTTCAGCTCATCTCATCTTTCCCTCTTCTCATGGGATCTCGTAATTCCCTGTCATAAGTCTGAAGCTCAGGAGATTGGAAGCTCTCCACAAAATCTCTTCTGAACGCCTGAATGTGAGGTAGGAGGCATCACAGAGTTCATCCTGTGGCACCTGGTCCACACTGCAGTAAAGCAGAAAGCAAGAGCAACCTCAAGGAAAAAATTTAATAGCTTATTTCTGGAAGAGCAGCACGTTAATGTATTCTAAGGAGGCTACACACGTGCAATCTCTTTGCAGTCAGGACTTGTAACAAGCTAGAGAACACTTAAAAGGATAAGTTTTCAGAAATTTCAGCCATTAACATCCAAGAAGATTCCACTGAAACTGAAGGAAAAGGTTGGGGATTTTTGTAAAGGTTGTAGTAAAATATGTGTTGATGTTCACAGACATTGCAAAAGACTTATCCATGACCAGAAGATCATTGCCTGCCAAATTTCAAATCCCTGATCTGTGATCAAGTCCAACAATGGGGGGATTTTAAGACATATTAAATAAAAGGTTTCAAGAATGTTTTGACAGTGGGAAACAACATGTTTTTCTCTTCTGTGTCCTTGGAATATGCTGAGCTGTTTTGGCTGAATTTTCTCCAAAACACATAGCACCTGGCATGAGAAGTTACTGACCCAACTGTCTAATTTTGGAAAATAACCCTTCATCTAAAATGAAGTATCAGGCAACCTTGACAATTGGGGTTGCTAACTCCATGTATATTTATTTCAAAGAGGGAAAAATAACGTGAGGCAAGAAGTTGTCACAAAGTTGAGCTGGCTGATGACACAGAAGAGGGAGCTGTGCCAAAGGCCTCCTTTAGATAAATGACCAAAGTGAAATTAGGTTTTTGGTTAAGCATGCTTGGGGATGATGGCATACATCATGTGAGAAGAAGTGACCAATGGTATATTACACAAGTGCCATAGGAAATAAAGCACATGGCAAAAGGAAATTCAAGCAGTTACAAAGCCATCACCAGTGAAAGCTTTTATAAGATCTTCAGCAAAACATTAAGAAAGGCAAAACTTGCAAGTATCTTGCAGTTTGGGAATCAAATAAAACCAGACTGGGACAAGTCCATGCCTTCAACTTCATCACCCACTGAACCAGCATCTGGTCTTCTTTGTTGGTATCAGAACCAGAACATTTTTCTACCATTTCTGGCCAACAATGGTGCAGAAAGGAGATATGAGGGCCCAATCCTACAATTTTTCCAAGAGCACAAAGAGCAGTAGAGTTAATGGGAGTTCCATGCATTTAGTACTAGAAACTTCAGGCCCATGATACCTCATTTCCCAGAGGGATGGTACATTTTACAACCTATTACACTTTTTGTTTGAATATCGTTAGTCAAACCTTTAATCATTTTACCAGAATGTTAGAATCTGGCTTGCTGACAGAAGTTTAACTTACTTTGTCTTTCAAAGGCAATTAAGTGTTAGTGGAAAAAATAAACTTTTGAAGTAATTGTTCCTTTCATATTTGCAAAACAGTAAGCTCCCTTTCACTGCTCTTTAACTTTCTGATCAAAGACATTAAATTAATGTAAAAACAAATAAAAAAGATAATAAAACAAAATTAGTCCTTCATGAGAAATCATTTGCTATCAATGCCTAAATTTCTTTGTTTTAAATAAAGGGCTAAGATAACCGAGCACTTTATTTTCCCTTATGCCTCTTTTTTATACTAAAATCTTTGGCTCTTGCTTTCTTTCCAGTTTTTTAATTTGCTTCATTGAACAGTAAAATTTACATCCTGCTCAGAGCCTTAAGCTCCCTCCTAAATACATTTCTGTCATGTGTCGATATTTTCTCAACACTAGTTCTGAAAGCTTCCAAATGACTCTTTGGAAGATAATGTGCCTCCCTCCACTGACATTCTACCACAAAGAAAGGATGGCTTTATTTCCCCATTTCATTCACACACAGGATGATTATATGGAACTCATTGCATAGTGCTGAACAACTTGACCCAAAATATATTTTGGCACCATCACAATAACCAAGAAAAACATCAAGTTCTGAATTTAGTATCATGTGGACTGTTTTGCTTATGCCAGTGGTAATTCATTCATATCATCCAGCCTACTGCAGTGCAAGATAAACCCAAAACTTGGCAAAACTGAGATATTTCCTCAGAATAGTCTTTCTTGGTCTCTAATTTTAAAGGACTCTTAAGGAGACACTGAGTTATAACAGAGGAAGCAATGAACTATAGGCATTCTTCAGAATTTTCAGGGCAATGGGAGACCTTCCACCAAGTGATGTCAGCTCTAGTCAGCTCTTACCTGAGCCAGAACACCACAAGTGAAATTAATATTTTCTGTCATAAAATGACAGTTTCAAAACCAGATCCCTTTTACCGCTTTGTTTTTACTGTACTTCCATCCTAAGCGGCAATTAAATGTGAAACTTTTTATTCCACTTATCATGAGCTATCCAATCAGAGTCACCAATCCAAAAAGTTTATTTGGGCAGCCTTAGAACTAGCTATGGTGTTTCCAGACATCATCCTTCTCCAGGAGAATCTCTGGTGCTGTAAAGCTGGAATAAGCAACACAAATCCCTTCAATTCCAGCTGACCTTCCCATCAGAAAGGGAAGGAGCAATTTTGTGCATATATATCCCTATATATCTGTATCTATCTATAGACACAACACAAATATAACCTGGAGACACTACAAAAGTATTTGCTTTACAAGTGCTTGATCTATGCTGACCAGAAGTTCTGAGTCTTTGATATGGCAAAAGAATAAAAAGTGGCCCCCATGAAAATTCTTTTTCAGCTCATTGTAAGCATTTTCTCACTCTTTCATGACAAAAAATTTTATAAATTACTGAACTACACTCTTCCATCAATAAAAAACACCTTTAGTCAAAGCAAGCCACAGGCTAACACTGATAGACCATCTAATATGTAAAAAAGGCTCTTTGGCTTGTGGAAAATTATCCTGTGACTTTAAAAGCCACTGCCATACAACCAGTTACTTTTTAAATTAGATTATCTTTGCTATACATATATACTGAATTACAGAAATTATGCTCCTGCACAGAGGTGCCCAACACCCTTGCAGGACAGTCCAAGATGCCCCACTGCAAAGCAATGAGCACTGAGATAACAAATAAACTACTCCAGTTTACATCCAAACTGAAGCATACTGCAAACAGGGGCATTTAAAAACCCATGGGAATACTTATATATACTGCAATAAGAACAAAGCTCTTTCAAAATCAGTGCACAAGTGAAATCTTTGCAGGCTGAAATACAACAGTATTAAAATAAAGGCAGCTCTCAGAGGGAGGGGCTTCATCCATTAAAAAGAAAACCTGGTTACATTTGAACTTTAAACACTGACTTTAGGAGCACCCTTCTATCTAGTGACTTTGCAGGAAGGTAATTAACCCTAAAGGCCCCATCTCCATGTGACAAATACACAATGTGAGTTCAGAAAAGGAAAAAAAAATATGTGAAGCAACTATTCATATGATAAACACATGGCTCATGTGCTGTGAGATTCCAGGGAGCATCATCTGGGAGGGTGGAGAGCACCAGTGTCAGAGGGGAGCCTTTGGAAAAATTTGCCTGCATATCAAAATAGCCAGACTCTTCAGACTCCAGCGAAGGGTCTAATTCCAATACCCTTCCTCTTTTATATTTTATATTTTCAATATTACTGATAACTACAGAGTTACTGCCAGTAAGATGCTCATTATTTTGAGAAAGAATGGTGGAATTTGAGCCAAACACACAAAAAAAGAGATGGAAGTATTAGTCCCTTTCACTTTGTGCTTTTTGTACCATACAAGCTGTAACTTGTCCCTGAAGTTCAACTGTCATCGGACATCACAAAATACCTCACAAATAAATAAAAAAAATTTAAAAAAAAATCAAAGTTAATTTGAAAACCAGGTACTTAGAAGCACAGGCCACTATTTCCATAAAACCATCTATAAGATGTTTCCATGGATTAATAACAGTGCTGCAGCATCACATATATTGCAACATGAGGATATCCTCTAAAATAAGATGTGCATCTTGATGGTTATTCCTGATAGAATGAATTGAGTAGCTCTATTAAAAAAAAAAAATGCATATCTCAAATTCTTTCCTAGCTGTACCCTAATGTGTGGTATCCCTCACGGAATTTCAGTAGACTAATCTAGCACAGACTTCAGAATAAGTAGCTTTGTAAAACTGCAAACAAGTATCTGGCTAAAAGGTCACTGCAATATGCATGCTAACACAGAAGAAGAAAACACAGTCAAGGATAAATCAGCATAGGATCAATTTGCAACCTACTTTTTTCTGGTGAGACATGTGCCTTAGCTTGTCCCCTCACAAGCCTGCACGTTGAGCCATCTCCTGCACAGATTCCACAGTTGTCTTCCTTGGCATTGCTCCCGAGTTGTCGATCACAGCCCACTGCCTGCCAACATCAACACCACAGTCAGAAGGAGGGCAAAGCTGTAGTAGACATGCTCAGGTTTCTGGAATTTTATTTATTATGTTATCCTTTTGATTTTATGAGTTGGCCTCATTCTATCAAAGCATATCTTGCCATTTAGGATTTTAAAAGCATGCTGTCATTTCCATGATTTTAATGATGAACCACAACAACTGATATATGAAGCTATTCAAGCATAGGAAATACATTAATCCATTTCCCACTACTTATGTGAATGAATACCATTGAGCATTATTCTTTCCAAGACAAAGCATAGCTATGTTATTTACAATTTGGTTTTCATCACCTGTTTAATTATGTCTGAGAAAGGATAAATGCAATTAAATAATCCAAGTTAAAAAATTTAAAGGGCACTCAGCCCTCAGCTTCATAGAGAGGGAGTTGAGGGCAGGCCTAACATTCTAGTGTCTTGGCCATCCAGAATTTAACTGGCACTTGTGTAGATCTATTTGCCATTTACATCAATGTCAATTACATACACATTTGTTAACCAGCTTTTAAAAAACTTGGACGATTCACTTCTCACCTTTGGATTTTTTCTGGTTTATGAATATAAGACCCATTCTATAAAATTTTCCAAAGATTATTATAAAAACACCCAAACTTAAACACTGCCAAAAATTCAAAAAGCAATTTCAAAAAACCCTGTCAACTGAAAACCCTCCAAATTATAATGAAAACATTTTTCCAGGTTTTTCTTTTTCTGCATATCAGTCAACTCCACAAGAAAGATGGGAGTGAAAATGGAAAGACAAAGAATAGACAAAAATTTACTAAAAGCAGCTTCCTGACAAATGGAAGATAAATATTTGGCCTCACCTATCTTACTCTTTACCATTCCATAGAAGAATCTTTCAGGGAGTACCAATGTGGTAAAAAGCTGATCTCCAGCTTCAAGTTTTCTCAAGTCAGCCTACCTGGCTCTTACACTCACATACCCCTGAGAAGGGCAGCTAATTTGTCATGGGTGTGTATATATTTAACAAAAATCCAAACTGACAAACGGATAGAAAACCCTCTGGAAACTCAGAGTTAAAAGCAGTGCTAGAATTCTGAAACTGGCCAGCACACGCCTCTTCCTATATAAAAATGCTTGGAAGGGGCAGCTCAGCTGCCAAGATCCTGCATCTGTGCTGTGCCAGAACTGACACACGATCCCCTTGGAGAGGTGAGGATCCAGTCCACACGTAAGAGGCAGGGCTGGGCCTTCCAGTCTGAGTCAACACACACACACACAGACACACAAATCACACACATCCGCTGCCAAACACGGAGAAATGCAATCTCAAAGTTTCACATGTCTGTGGAAAAGAAAACAAAGCAGCCCCACCTCCCCCTTCAGCCCCTTTCCCTTATTTTCCCAATTCCTTACAGCCTGAATTCCCTTTAGAGGAGGGCATTAATGGGGACAGTTTACAGTCCTTTACTTGAGAGACCTGCAGGGAAGGCATCTCCTCCCTAAGGGCTTCAGATTTTCCAGAGAAACCTACATTAGCAGCAGGAAATTATTTTATTCCTGCAATTGAAGGGGACCTTAATTGTAGCCCAGCAAGGAATTAATTTTAAAAATAAATAAGCCACTTAACACTAAATAATTTTGCTTTTAACAAAAACTTAGTTGTAAAAATAAAGCAAATGTACACACATGTGAACTCAGACCATCTCAGAACAGGTGCTTATTTACCACACAGGAGGCACGTGGCAACACTGTACTGTAATTTAGGCATGGATTGCAGATTAAAGGATCTGCACTTGAAGTTGTCTTTAGCATTAGCTCTGAGCTCGTTATTGACAACCAGAAAAACATAAGAAGGTTGTAAACAAATGACTATAAACAAGTCTATCTTCGCACTTTATAAACAATTAACATTGAGAAATGAATGAAAACATCATTTAAGAAACAGAAACTGACTGGGCCACTCTGTGAATCAGAAAGCAGATGAAATTTTATGAGATATAACAATAATGTGCTCAACAGACACATTTACCTCAGCATTGACAACTCTTTCAGTTCCCAGCTCCACAACAGAATTTCTTTTCTGAACCTTGAAAATTCCTGTGCTTTTCCATTCCAATCCATAGAAGAGATCTGACTGCAGACCCCCAGCTGACAGAGATGTTGCATGAATTAATCTCCTAAATATTGTGAAGCATGCAGATGGTGCAGTGATGGAGACCATACCAGTGGCTGAGAGAGTCTATATTTCTCTTTGGAAGACTTTTAAAGTTATTACTGTTCTGCACTGATCCTCCTGCCCTTATTCACATAAAGACACTACTGGACCATGGAGGTAACTTGTATCACTGCAAGTTAATCTCTCCACATATATCTCTAATACATCTCTGTTCCTGTATATTAAAAAACAGTTTATTCACTCATCAATTAATTTCAAAGGAAAAAATAAGCTGCACATTGTGACACCCTGTGTGGAAAAGTGCTATTTTTCTTAGTTTAGCTCTTGTATATTTGCAGGCTGCAGATGCTGCAGGTCTTTAGTGGGAGGAGGGCACTGAGCAAGCAGAGCAGGAGCAGCCCATTAGAGCCCAACATGACAATAACAAACATCCAGCCTGGGCTCTTCCACACAGCCCCTGTGAAAACAAACTCCCACTGGGTGTAACAAAAATCACACAACTGTGCAAACACAAGGCATTATTGTGTCCTACACAGAACGTACAAAAAGATAATCAGCACATAGCAGCATGCTTTGGAGGGCTGTTTCATATAGTATTATTGCTTATTTTTTAATAATACAGAAATGCCACAGAAATAAAACAGGAGTGCTAGCTGCAAGGGACTTGGATGTGGGAAAAGGTTTACAGCTCCCCTGACAGCAAAGGTGCTGTGTTCAGCTAGATGCATTCACCCTCTGCAGATTTCCTTCCCAGATCATGCTTGCATCAGCTGTTACAAATATGAATATCAAGCAATGGTATCTGGGAACACCATTTAGAAAACAAATTATAATCACAATTTCGAATTGAAGTGAGCATAGAATCCCAGATTTTGTTTAACACGAAGGACACAAAAATGTCACAGGTTTTTAAGTGACAAGCCACAAATTTAGAGTTAATTCAAGAAGGAATCTTAATGAGTGAACACTGGGATGGGACATATTTCAAACATCAGAGTCTAGAGCCAGCCTTTTTTATCTGTTTGCAAACCCTTGATCAGGTATGTTTCAGGTGAGCTGAACAGCCATAGATCTCCGGAAGAGGAAGCTGTAAGGCATAGCCTTGGAAACAGGTCCTCAAAATCATATGGCACTGTGACACAAAATATTATGAATTTAAGGTATTCATATTTTAGCCAACAACTACTGAAGAGAAAAAAAAAGTGTTTGACGAAACATTTTGAGGACAGTAAATTTGGTTATTTGCAAATAAAGCTGCAACAAGGACAAGAAAACGATAAATGGCAGCAGCCTCCGTCCACCTCAGCCAGCCAAAGAGGCTGATGATTTTCACAATTAAGGCATTTTTTGGGATTAATTTGCCCCACATTGCTTGCTGTTTACAGAGCAAAGGGATCAGCTGTAAATATTACAGGCAGACTGGGAAAACATCTGCAGGCTTTTAGGGCATAGTCAGAAATAATATTAGGTGATTTTAACATAGGCTGAATAAATGAAACAAGTGATAACACAAACTGTGTAATGGAAGGGTGGGGACCCAGTGAATTTAAGAAATTTGTAATCGTAAATATCATCATCCTAAAAAATGATACAGGTACTGTAATGACCAGGTTGTAATTGAGCTCCTCAGACAGCAGAGAGAGTATTCACCAGTATGTAACAAAACAAACAGCAAGTAGAAATTTAATACTAGAAGAGCATTGAGGAAATGAGCAGTTTGTGAATTTATAAAATTGTCCATGGTGGGGTACAAATGAATTTGGATATGGCAGGATTATTTTCAAAAACAGGCCTCCAATCCATTAATATTTTTGGACAGAACCTGAATAAGTTACTTTTCTGTTCTCACAAAGGGAAAAAAAAAAAGAAATATGAAAAAGAGCTCCATAGTTTACAGAATTATATATACTTTTCTCACAAGCAGCTCAGATAGAAAGCATCTGGTTAAGCAGTGAACAAAACCACTCATCTGCTCCAACAAACCTTAGCATGGCAGTGCTGTTGTGAAAGACAATCCTGAAGGGTGTTAAATACTTTGGAGCATGCTTAGAATAGTTCATGTAGGTTCAGAAAGGCAAAGGAAGAGCAAAAGGTCAGGGTATAAAATACAGCAATATGGATGAAAGAGAAGAATGAAATCACTGCTGATATGTTAAACGTGACTATGGAACATTAAAAATATTTTTGCAAATGTGAATCCAAAAATCACTCAGAAGCCCATGTAAAGCTGTTTCTTTAGGTCATATTCAATTAGTAGTGTTTCAACTGAGGAATTGGACTTAAACAAAGAAATTAATGTAGCATGTTAATTTTGATTTGTGAAGGTCCAAGAATAATCTGTTAAATTCAAAAGGCTTCCTTTGTTAAGATGTTTATAATTAAGTATGATAAGAAAATTGAAAGGACTGCAAGATGACAGAATTTTAACTGAAATTCCAATATGGTAAAAAAGCACCATAGTGAAGAACAAGGCAAACCCCACCCACACCCTCCCTCCATCCTTTCAGAGACTTCTCTTAATAAGTAAAAATACAAACAGGACTAGAATTGCCAGTGCAGAATCTGATACGGAATTAAGTTTCAAAATTTCAACATTTGTTTGTTATACCATTGCTTCAGCCATCCTAAATTCAATTTCAATTATTCAAGTTTTCTGGAATGCCAATGACTCAAGATTATATACTTCAAATAAATAAACTGAAGATAAACCTACACTTTATAAAATAAAAATATTCATTTTAGAGATGAGTAAAACCAGACATCTCTGTATAACAAGCATCATGTAAGTGTTAAGTGTCAATATTAGTATCAAAAGCATGAAATCAT